GAGGGAGGGAATGAAAAGCAAGGAGACACACAAGAGGGAAGCATAGCACATGCACAGGTTCAATGCAATTCACGACCAGCAGCAGTGACTCGACTCTCTAGGCGTCCTGTGACCAAGACCCCCCCAACTCCTCTATCCCCAAACGTACCCTTGCCCTGCTGACACATCCTCATGGCACTTGGCTGTTTCAAGAATGGCTAACGGACTTCGCGGCATCCTATGGGCTCAAAATCACTTCCCGGGCCCGTTTGCAGTGCCTTGCACACAGAAAACACAGGAGGGGCAGGAGAGGGGAGGGGAAACAGGGAATATGGGAGAGTAGGGAGAAAAGAGGGAGCAGGGGAGGGCAACAGGGGAAGGGGAGGGGTCAGTACTTCCACAAATTCGAAACGGACGCAAAGCAACTAGCAGCTTTACTCTCTAGGCAGGCCATCTTAGACGCCTGGGTGAAACCTCCCCCATCCCCCCCCCCGCCCCCCTAATGCCCTCAAAGCTTCGAAGTACCTCGGCATAGTTGTTGTGGTTGCTTGGTGCAGCTCTTGTGGTTGCAGGCCGTCTGGTGGTTGATCTGTTGAGACAGGAAACCCTGCATGGCCCATTCGATGGCTGACGAATCCCATTCCCACAGCAACTCACAGCCCATCCCCCTATTCTCCACCCACGAACGTGTGCCTTGCACACAGAAACGCACATCAACGAGCAGGGCGGGGGCAGGAGAGGGGGGTGGGTGAGGGAGAGGGAAGAGAGGGGCGCATGAGTACACGAAATCGTATACGAACGGACTCGGAACAAGAAAGCACCATGACTCGCTAGGCGGCGCTATCTTAGACGCCGAAACACCCCCCCAAGGCCCTTGTTTCAGCCACGCGACCTTGATGTGATTGTGGCAGGCTGGCAGCCCAAGCCCGGTTGTCGAAGCTCCCCTCGTTCCCCTTGCAAAAGGCCTGCCGCTTGTTGGAAAGAGAGGAGATGCTCTGTTAGCTGCTGCTGCTGCTGCAGCGAAGGTAATCACTGCAAGGCGAGATTGCAGTACCTTGCACACAGAAACGCCGAGGGGTGTGGAAGAGCGGAGAGAAAGGAAGGGAGGAAGACAGAAAAAAGGTAAGGAGTAGTCCACGCATAGGCATATGAATGGACGCAGAAGAAGAAGTATGACTGGTAAGGAGTATGACTCGTTAGGCGGCGCTATCCTGGACACCTACACATCCCCCCCAGCACCCTTGTTTCAGCCACGTACCCTTGGAGGAGGTGTGGCAGGGCATCCAATGCTTAAAATCCGCGGCCCAAATTGTTCAAACGCACTGCGTATGAACTTTGACCCTCATGCTGTACGAAATACACTGGAAAATCGCAAGGGCGTTTACTCTCGCAAATTCAATGCTGGTCGTGAACCGTCAGATTTACAAACACACAGTTTGACGGATGAGATTACCTTTCGACTGACTGGGGGAAGTGCTTGGCTTACGCGACATCAGATGAAAATCAGGAAAAACTGGACGGTTGAAAAACACTCAGCAATTGGTGTTCCAAATTACCTTCCGCAGTGAACTTGAAAGGCACCCCTGAGTGACGAGAGTCTCGTTACCCCCCAATACACCCACGAAAACGCAACTTTCAAACGCACTGCGTTTGAAGGCCGCGCCTCGCGATTTGGGCCGCGGGTTTTAATGCACAGATTTGCACAGAAAGCGAATCAACTCTCCTTGCAAATGCTATGCTGGAGCTACTCAGAGAATGCTATCTTGGGCTACACTGCACTGCAAGACCCCATCACAGTACCACGTGCACAGAGTTGCAGACGCGGAGGGATGGAGGCGGGGAGACGAAACAGGGAGAGGGAAGAGTAGAGGAAGAGGACGCATAAGTAAACAAATAGGCTTACAATAGACATAAAACAGGAAAGCAGATTGACTCGATAGGCAACAACACGTCCCCACCAGCACAGTTGTTCCTGCCACGTACCCTTGACGTGGCAGCAGGGCGCGCTGGGCTCCAGCGGAATCAGGTGCTGCACTGCTGGGCTGCCCTGTTGGGCATCAGCACAGCACTGCGCGTAGGCGCTGGGCTCCAGCGGAATCAGGTGCTGCACTGTGGTGTTGGGATGACGAGTCTCGCACTCTTTGACTCCAGGTCGCAGTGCCTTGCACACGGAAACGCAAAGGAGAGATGGCGGAACGGAGGAGAGAAAAGGAAGAACAGAGTTGATACATGCATGTTATAGCTCGGGACGCAGGGAGAAAAAAGTATTAGTAGAAGCTTGACTCGTTAGGCGGCGCTATCCTAGACGCCTACACGTACCCCCAGTACCCTTGTTTCAGCCACGTACCCTTGTGTGGCAGCAGGGCGCGCCGGGCTCCAGCGGCATCAGGTGCTGCACAGTGGTGTTGGGAAGACGACTCTTGCACTCTGCGACTCCATGTGAGAGAACTTAAAAATAATTCTCAAGAATTTCTCAAAATCTGCTGCACAGTGGTGTTGGGACGGCGACTCTCGCACTCCTCGACTCCAGGTCGCAGTGCCTTGCACACAGAAACGCAGAAGAGAGACAGAGGAACGGAGGAGAAAAGTAGAACAGAGTTGATATATGCATGTGATAGCTCTGGACGCTGAGAATACTAGAAGCTTGACTCGCTAGGCGGCGCTATCCTAGACGCCTACGTGTCCCCCCCAGCACACTTGTTTCAGCCACGTACCCTCGGCGTGGCAGCAGAGCTCGCTGAGCTGCAGCCGCATCAGGTGCTGCACAGTGGTGTCGGGTGCTGCACAGTGGTGTCGGGTGCTGCACAGTGGTGTCGGGTGCTGCACAGTGGTGTCGGGTGCTGCACAGTGGTGTCGGGTGCTGCACAGTGGTGTCGGGTGCTGCACAGTGGTGTCGGGTGCTGCACAGTGGTGTCGGGTGCTGCACAGTGGTGTCGGGTGCTGCACAGTAGTGTCGGGTGCTGCACTGTAGTGTTGTGACGACGACTCTCGCACGCTCCGACTCCAGTCGCAGTGCCTTGCTCACGGAAACGCAGAGGAGAGATGGGGGGAACGGAGGAGAAAGGAAGAACAGAGTTGATATATGCATGTTATAGCTCTGGACGCAAGGAGAAATACTACTAGTAGAAGCTTGACTCGCTAGGCGGCGCTATCCTCCTAGACGCCTACGCAGCCCCCCCGCACCCTGTTTGCGTCAACGTACCCTTCGTTTGATCCTTGCAGCCTTTGAGTCGTGGTATCACCACTGCCATCACGCATCAGTGTCCACCAGCCATCAGCGTCCACCGGCCATCGTCGACCAGCAATCAGCGTCAGTGAGGCACGCGCGTCAATCGGACATGAGCGATTATTGCCCTCGCCATCGGACGCGATTTCCATCGGGATCTTCGGTGTCACGCGACCAGATCGGACTCGGTACCGAGAAGTGGTACCAGGATGGACTTAGTACCGAGACACGCGATTTCCGACGCCATGAGAAGCCTTTCTTCCGTCGCCATCAGACGCGTTTTTCCGTCGCCTTCGACGCGAACAGGTTCAAACGCGGTCAGGTCAAGCTTGACGCTGTCGGCTGGTCAGGTCAAGCTTCCTGACGCTGTCGGCTGGTCAGGTCAATCTTCCTGACGCTGTCGGCTGGTCAGCCGAAAGGAGCAGAACACGCGGAGCGTTTTTAATCACTCGTGCTCAGACACGCCGCGATAAGGATCAGGTGGACGATTCTGTGCTAGGTCCGCCATAAGGATCAGGTGGATGGTTCTGTTATCTATTAGGTCGCCTCGAGCTTGAGAGAGCGGACGACGACGTCAGGTTCGTCATACTCCGTTAACGCGCCAGCAACAAGGTTCCTATCACCGGTGGATCCGGTCGCTAGAATCTAGAGCACCTCTTGAAGTTCCCTCACCAGCGACAAGTATCAGTCACCGTATTCATCAGTTCTATGGACAAAAAGGGCGTGACTATGTCCATCAGAAGTGTGAAAAGCGAGCCAGGAGCGCGGGGACGGTGAAAGGGGATCATGTACGGTGAGAGAACGAATCTGGCTGGCAACCAGCTCGTGCCTAAACTAGAGCATTTCCCCATCCATAACGGTGAACGCACAGCTAGTGCTGATGTTCTCTTAGAGATGCTGTCTTGATTAGTAGGATAGTAAAAAACTCCCTTCGCGACACACGCCAGCAGACTAATCCATTTTTGTCCATGTTCAGATTTCCGTTTTGCGGCACGATAAAGGTCTGAAGAACTCGAAGCCGGAGCGGAAAAGCTGACTGATGAGAATCAAAAGAGTGATGTCTGAGGAAAACTAACTGCTACCTGATGACAAGGTTACGGGGTGAGGGGAAGAGAGATGAGGGTGACTGGGAGGGGAGGCAGTAGGGGAGTAAGGGCAACGCCTTGGGAGTCCCGAAAAGATCCAACGGTTTTCAATTAAAGACACAGGATGCTACTTCATCCTACGATCGTGAGTGACTCATTGGCCGAACCTTCACACCACGGCTCTGACAACCTTGAGAGTTCAGCAGTCAAACGTTGGCGCCAATATTCGCTCTGGAGAACTCTCTACAATCTGTGAATGATGTTATCAGTATTCAGAAAATCGCCTTGCTCCTGTTTAAATCCAGTTTGCTTGTTTCCACATCCTAATGTGTTGAGGGAACCCTCAACAAAATGAAATACTGTCATCAAATTTATACATTTTATTTCCTGGAATTTTATGTGGTCCATGAAAATTGTAGAGAAACCACCTTATTTGGAGTAACATTCAACTTGTCGAAATCGTTTGTGGATGTTGATTTCCTCATTAATCAATTGCATGAAACTTTTTGAACAGTATGCATCAAACTATGTTCATCGATGCGGCTTAGTTTTTGCAACCTAAGGATGGTGGTAGGTAGTAGAGCTCTTTCGGGCTTTCCAATGTAACGATTGACGGTTGTATGGTTTAGGCAGGAGAATTGGCTTACTGAGCCTATCCGTGACGAGTATTTGACTGAAGCAAAACCCCTCAGCTCATGGGGTTCAGTTGAGCACACCTAGGGAATATTTCATTTAGGAGCCCGGCCGTCAATTAGTGCGGCGCGATGGTGAAGGCTTACTTACGCTATGAGCAGGAAGCGGTATTCGGCCTCGTAGTCTCCCCTTCTTGCGGCAGCATCTGTTTCGACCAGTCAGGTCGCTCCATTTTAACAGGCGCGCTCGAACGCTTGCTCGTATGGGACGTGCGCAAGGGCACGCTGCTACAGCAGCTCTCGCCACAGCCTGCCGGCGCCGGCTACAGCCAGGGCGGCGCCGGCGCCGCCAGCGCGGCCGGCAGCGTGCATGATGCCGTCCCAGCTGTAGCGGACGTGACGGCGATCTGCCCGTCGCCGGCCGACGCGACGCAGGTGGCGGCGGGGTACACGGACGGCACGGTGCGCGTGTGGAACATGGTGGATGGCACGTGTAGGACAAGCCTTGCCGGCCACAGATCGGGTGTAGCGGTGGTGCGGTACAACGCGGCCGGAGCGCTGCTGGCGTCGGGCGGCAGGGACGCGGATATCGTGGTGTGGGACGTGGCGGGCGAAGTGGGGCTCGTGCGACTGAGGGGGCACAGAGACCAGGCAAGGTTTGGGGTTTTAAGGGCGGAAAACGGAGACAGGGAGGGAGAGGGTTGGATGACGTTCAGAATTTGAGGGGAGGAGTGGAAGAGACTTGGGCGGGGAAATGGGGCTCGTGCGGCTGAGGGGACACAGGGGTCAGGCAAGGTTTCGGGTTCTAGGTGGGGGGAGAGAGGGTGGCGTTTTTTTTGGGGGGGAACGGGGGGATGGGGTTGGGGAGAAAAGGAAGATGCCAAAATTTAGGGGGGCTTGTGCAGGGGGTGTGGGATGTGGCGGAAAAAGTGGGCCTCGTGCGGCTGAGGGGACAGGGATCAGGCAAGGTTTCGGGTTTCGGGGGTTGGGGTTTTGGGGGGATTCGGCGTAAGGAGGGTGGTGACCTAATTTCTCCGCCATCCGCTAAACCTGATCATTCCGTCAATCATCCTGTTAACCCTACGTGTCGCTAGACCGAGTTTTCCGCCTCATCCACTATCTTACCTCCTTCCACTCCCGTTAAACCCTCTCAACTCCCTGCAGGTCACAGACCTTTCCTTCCTGGAAGGATCACTGGTGCAGCACCAGTCGCTCCTCATCAGTTGCAGCAAGGACGCCCAGATTAAAGTCTGGGACCTCGCCCTGCACCACCACATGCTCAAATCCCCTCTCCACTCTCACCTCCCTGCAGGTCACAGATCTGACCTTTCTCGAGGGCTCCTTGGTGCAGCACCAGTCGCTGCTCATCAGCTGCAGCAAGGACGCCCAGATCAAGGTCTGGGACCTCGCCCTGCACCACTGCATCCAAACCATTGCCGAGCCTAGGGGCGAGCTCTGGACGCTAGCCGTCCACCCGAGCCTGCCCAGGCTCGTCGCGGCCGGCACCGAACCTGAGGTCCTGGTCTTCCAAATCAGGGCGGAAAGGGGGGTGTTGAGTGAGGGGGAGGGGGAACCTAGGGGAGGTGCGGAGAGGGGGGGTGAAGGGGAAGGGGGAGCGGGGCGGGGGGTAGAAGGAGGAGCAGCAAGTGGGGGGGGAGTAGGAGGTGGGGGGGTGGCAGGGCGGTGGGACGTGCTTATACCGCACGGCAGTATACGGAGAGTTGTGGGCGTGGGACAGGGCGCAGAGCGGGCTTTAAGTGTGCGGTTCGACGGGCCAGGGAAGGTGCTAGCCTGCCAAAGCGCGGGGAAAGCTATTGAGTTGTTCCGGGTGCGCACCCCTGGAGAGGCTGTCAGGCAAGCCAAGAGGCGGAGAAGGAGACAGGTGGAGAAAGGAAAGGGGAAGGGGGGCACGGGGGAGGGTGGGGTAGAGGAGGAGGCGGAGGGAGGAGGGGAAGGAGTGGGGGAAGGGGGAGAGGGAGGGGAGCGGAGGGATGGAGGGGCGGAGGTGACTGTAGAGGGGGCGGATGAGTTTGCCTCGATGTTTACCATTCGTCTGAAGCACAGAGTGAGGGCGATTGCGTTTGCGCCCAAGGCAGCGGGAGCAGGGGGAGCAGGGGGGAGGGGAGGGGGGAAAGGGGGAGCAGAGCCGTCACTGGCGCTGGCCCTGCACAACAATAGTGTGGAGGTGAGACGATATTGGGGGGGGGGGGGGGGGCAGCAAGGTGGGACAGCCAGGGGGTTCTGTGAATTTGTACCATTGAGGCGCCTCAAACGGGGGAGCAGAGCCGTCACTGGTGCTGGCGCTGGTGCTCCACAACAACAGCGTGGAGGTGAGACGAGAAGGGGGGGGGGGCGGCAAGGGCAGACGGGGACAGACGGCAAGGGCAGACGGCAAGGGCAGACGGGGACAGTGGGTTTGGACCGTTCGGGCGCCTCAAACGGGGGAGCAGAGCCGTCGTTGTCGCTGGCCTTACTGGCGCTGGCCTTGCACAACAATAGTGTGGAGGTGAGACGAGAAGGGTGGGCAGTGGATGGGGGCAGAGTGACGGAGTGGGAGGGAGGGTTGGGAAGCGTGGGCACGGGGAGAGTGTGTGTGGAGGGCTTGCATGCTGGAAGCTTTGCAAGTGTGTGTCCCAATCCCATTGTGTGAGTAGTATCCTCAATCCCTGAACAGGCCATAGTCTAACCTCCTTCCCCAATCCTTCCCTCCTTACTTCCCTCTTTCTTTCTTCCCTCTTTCCCCCCTCCTCTCTCCCCCCCTCCTCTCTTCCCCCCTCCTCTCTTCCCCCCTCCTCTCTTCCCCCCTCCTCTCTTCCCCCCTCCTCTCTTCCCCCCTTTTTCAGATACACACCATTTAGGCTGAAAGCAGCACCTGGGCAGCGGCTCTTCAGTCCACCGGGCCTGAGCCAACCCAACCCAACCCAACCGTCTGCCTTCCTCCCTCCCCCCACTTTTACCCCCAGCCCTTCGGATCCACACCATTTATGCCAATAGCTGCACCTGGGCGGCGTCTCTTCAGTCTGCCGGCCCTGAGGCAACCCAACCCAACCCAACGGTCTTCCTTCCTCCTTTCTTCCAATTCTACCCCCATCCCTCCAGATCCACACCATTCATGCCGACAGCAGCACCCGGGCGGCGTCTCTCCAGTCTGCCGGCCACCGGTCGGACGTCCGCTCGTTGGCGCTCTCCTCAGATGGCTCGCTTCTTTTGTCCGTTTCTAAGGGCTCTGCAAAGGTGGGTGGCTGGCTGGCAAGTTGGTCATGTGATACTGTGTTGATGTGGCAATCACAACCGAAACCCCATGAGCGGTGCTTGCCTGTTTGTTTATGTGGCCTTGCCTGTCTTGACTCTGGAAAATGCTTGAGTCGAAATTCCTTCACTCAAACTTTGAATTGAAACGCCCCTTAAGTCTCCACTTCCACTTGTCCTCTCTTCACTCTTACCCTCTCTTCGCCTCTCTTCGCCTCTCTTCGCCTCTCTTTGCCTCTCTTTGCCTCTCTTTGCCTCTCTTCGCCTCTCTTCGCCTCTCTTCGCCTCTCTGCGTCTCTCTTCGCCTCTCTTCGCCTCTCGTCGCCTCTCTTCGCCTCTCTTCGTCTCTCTTTGCCTCTCTTTGCCTCTCTTCGCCTCTCTTCGCCTCTCTTCGCCTCTCTTCGCCTCTCTTCGTCTCTCTTTGCCTCACTTCGCCTCTCTTCGCCTCTCTTCGCCTCTCTTCGCCTCTCTTTGCCTCTCTTCGCCTCTCTTCACCTCTCTTCACCTCTCTTCACCTCTCTTCCAGGTGTGGAACCCCGTGACCGGCGCCTGCCTTTCTTCCTTCGACTCGGGCTATGGCCTCTGCTGCCTCTTCGCTCCTGGTGATAGATATGTGAGGAAGCGGTGGGGAGGGGAGGGATGGGTGGTAGATAGACATGGGCAAAATGCGGTTGCGATTTAAATCGCATCGCATTGGGGGGCGATTTAATTAAATGCAATGCGATTTAAAATCGCATCGCGCGATTTAATTTCTGGAAAAAAACAATCGCACATCGCGTTCTGCGCACGATGAATATTAAAACCGCATGCGTTATTTAATTAAATCGCGCGATGCGATTTAAAATCGCATCGCGCTTTAAAACAGAAGAAAAAACACCCCAAAAACCAGGAAAAAACAATGGCTGCCGGGAAATTGAATCACGGGCAGTTGTAAGCTAGAGTGAAAATACATAGTATGGTTTCGTAGTGGGTTTCAGAGTGGGTTTCATTGCTACATTGCGCCCGAAAAAAAAAAAAAAAAAAAAAAAAAAAAAAAAAAAACGCATATCGCATTTAAATCGCGTTTTGTGGCGCGATTAAAATGCGTTTTAAATGAAGCCGTGCGAAAAACAATTCATCGCATCGCGCGATGAATTTAAAATAAATAAATCAATAATTAAAAAAAAACCGCAATCGCAAAAACGCGATTAAATGCGATGCGATGCGATTTTTTTTGCCCATGTCTAGTGGTAGACTGTGAGACGTTATCCAATAACTGGCCTCTCGTGCTTCGCCTCTGGCTGTGGCTTCTGCTGCGTTCCTTCCTCTGCTGCCTTCCTGCCTCTGCTGCGTCTTTTCCCCTGTGATGCCTACTTACACAACCCGTACCTTCCCCCTCTCCCCATTCTCCCCCCTCCCCTCCGCCCTCTTGTTGTGATTGTGCATGCCATTCTCGGAGCCATTTTGCAGGCGCCTCAAAAATAGCCTCCTCTCCCCATTCTCCCCCCTCCCCTCCACTCTCCCCATTCTCCGCTCTCCGCTCGTGCAGGCCATTTTCGGCACTCAGTTAGGCGGTCTCGAGGTGTTTTCAGTGGCGAGAGAGTGCTGAGTGCACGCACAGCGTTGATCCAAGCAACAAACCACCCGTTCTCCACAACCCGCCCTCTTCCCCTCCCCCCACACACAGGCCATTTCAGGCACTCAGTCCGGAGACTTGGAGGTGTTTTCAGTGGCGAGCGCGGAGCGCACGGCGCTGATACAGGCGGCACACGACAAGGCGGTGTGGGCCATGGCCCCTTTGGCTGACAACACCGGTTTTGCGACTGCCTCTGCTGATGGCTGCGTCAAGGTGAGCGGGCGTTGTGCTTAAGATTGTGGCCCGCTAGCATCGCTCGTATGCTCGGGTCGGGTGTGTGCATGTGATGTGTGTTTGCCTGGTGGCTCGCTTCAAGGTGGTGTGGGCCATGGCTCCCCTGGCGGACAACGCTGGGTTCGCCACTGCCTCCGCTGATGGCTGCGTCAAGGTAAGCGGGAGTGTGTGAAGATGTGTGCATGGAATCTATTTTTTGAGGCGCCTCAAAAATAGACTCCTCACGCAAGATGTGTGCATGGAATCTATTTTTTGAGGCGCCTCAAAAATAGACTCCTCACGCAAGATGTGTGCATGGAATCTGTGTGATCTCGCAATCTGGTTGTGTGCTCTGGTGTGTGCATGTGGGCCACGTGTGCCATCTCATCAAGGCCGTGTGTGCCGTCGTGGCACAATGGTTAATTGGTTTAGTTTTGAGACGTCTCAAAATTAAACCACTCAACCATGTGTGTGCCGTCGCGGCACCATTGAGTTGTACCTGATAGCGTTGTGTGCCCTCTCATCTCATCTCATCACGGAGCGTTTCACTTGTGCCTCGCATGTGACTTGTGTGTGTGAGCTGCTTTTGAGCCGACTCAGAAGTCACCTCGTTACAATGCCACACAACACCTTCGCTTCAAGGAGAGTTATTATCGCATGGAGGCTGCCGAAGAGAATTGGGAACTTTTTAGTTTCTGCTCATAAGTGCTAGAATACAGTAGTTTTTTGCTGTTTGTGCTTATTTCGTTTTTTGTTGCGGCCCCACTTTCTCCGCGACGGTTTCCCCGCGCGAGATGAATCCTGGGCGACATCTTCTAGACGTATAAGTAGTGCTTGTTTTCATTAGGACTCTGTGGTCTGAAGAAGGCTTCGAGCCGAAACTGGTTACCACCATTCTAATTCCAAGAGTTTTTACAAGAACTCTATGAACTAACACTCACAGGTGTCATCAAGCAGTTGCTGCCACGTATTGACACAATGGCACCTATTTGGTGTTCTATTGGATTCACTTGTGCCTCGCATGTGACTTGTGTGTGTGAGCTGCTGTTTCACTTGAGCTCTCATCACTGCTGTTGTTTTCTTATATCTATCTTCCCTCGCCCTCCCCCACTCCCCATCCCCCTCCCCTCCCCTTCTCCCCCATGGCCATGGCCTCCTCTTTCCCCATCCCTCTGCAATCCCCCTCATCAACTCCTTGTTTCTTCTGTTGTCGTCTGATTCTTCTGTTGTCAGTTTTGGGAGTATCAGATGCAGCTCTTGGGGACCGATTCAGACAAGGTGGGAAGGGGCGAGAAGCACTTAACAGTTTGCAACATTTGAACCTAACATTCTTCCGATATCATTTTTTTTGCTTCGCCTGTCGACTATTTTGTGTCTATTCTTCTGCTTAATATCCTGAACTGCTTTTTTCCTGTTATTAACAAACTCTAAAAAGTCTCCCTCCCAACAAAAATAAAAAATCTTTTCCTTGCTGCAGGATGCTCTGGCAGCCGGAAGGGGCGAGAAGCACTTAACAGTGGTCAACACACGCACGCTTAAAATGTCAGACGACGTGCTAAGTTTGGCGTTTAGCCCGGACGGCCGATACATTGCACTCTCGCTCCTGGACTCCACCATCAAGGTACTGATTAGCGCTACTTTCTTAATGCCCCTTCAAGGCATGGTATGGTTTCAAGTGCCCCTTGCACTCTCGCTCCTGGTCTCCACTATCAAGGTACTGATTAGCGCTAGTGCGATGGTGGAGTCCAGGAGCGAGAGTGCGATGCCATGCCAATTAACAGTCGTACTGATAAGCGCTACTTTCTTAGTGCCCCTTCAAGGCATGGCATGGTTTCAAGTGCCCCTTGCACTCTTACCTCAATGTCTCATGTCCCACTTCTTCACTCAACCCATCCTCTCCCCCTCTCCCCCCCTTGACCGCACAGGTCTTTTTCGTCGACTCCCTGCGCTTCTTCCTCTCGCTGTACGGCCACAAGCTGCCAGCCATCTGCCTTGACATCTCCTCGGACTCGCAGCTCGCTGTATCAGGCTCGGCAGACAAGAGCGTCAAGATATGGGGCTTGGACTTTGGAGATTGCCACCGGTCGCTGTTCGCTCACCAGGACAGGTGGGTGTTTGTTTAGCATTGGGAAGCAAATTGTGGGTCACCAGGGCGCAGTGGGTCGGGTGTGGTGGGAGGGTCAGGCCAGGAGGGGAACTTCCAGCTATGTCGGGCTCGGCTGACAGGAGTGTCAAAATATGACGGCTGGCTGGATTTTCGGAGACAGGCACCGCTGTTTTTAGACGTCGCAAAACTACAATTTTGAGTCGCCTCAAAAGTGGATTTCAGAGACTGGCACCACTCTATTTGCTCACTTGGGCAGGTGAAGTGGCAAGGAGTAAATGGCGTTGTGTTATTTTTGACCTTATTCTCTTCCCCGTCTGTATACGTTTCAATATGGGTAATATCGTCCCTCGCACGCACTACTTCTTTTGAGTGTGATGTGTGGTGCTTTGTTCCCTCTCCCTTCCCCCCCCCCTAACTCACAACAGTGTGATGTGCGTTAAAATCGTCCCGCGCACATACTACTTCTCGTGTGGCAAGGAGTAAAGGACGGTGAAGTTATGTGTGCTCAGTTTCCTCTTTCCCCCGTTCCCCTCTCCTCCCTCCCCTCCCCCCTCCTCCCCCAACACCCAGTGTGATGTGCGTTAAGTTCGTGCCGCGCACGCACTACTTCTTCTCGTGCGGCAAGGACCGCAGAGTGCGGTACTGGGATGCAGACAAGTTCCAGCTGCTGCTCACACTTGAAGGGCACCACGCCGAGGTGGGTGAGACTGGTCGCATGCTTTTGAGTCGACTGAGCTTTTGAGGCGGTGGTGAGGGTAAACACACGGAGGTGCCCTCTGCCCATTGGGATGCAGACAAGTTCCAGCTGCTGCTCACGCTGGAGGGGCACCACGCCGAGGTGAGTGAGTCCGCCTGCAGGCTGACCAGAAGTTAGTGATTTGCAAGGGTGAGGATTGGGGTACTCTCTAGGCTGGCAGGGCGCGGTACTGGGATGCCGACAAGTTCCAACTGCTGCACACACTGGAAGGACACCACGCTTAGGTGAGAGCGCCTGCATGATGACCGTAAGTGATTCTCGAGGGTGGGTAGGTAGGTACTACCACTGGGATGCTCACAAGCACCATTGCTGCAAGAAAAGGTCGTGTTGCTGGCGGTCAGCCCCCTGCGTTACTTCCTGGTTTCGGTCTCTCACTTCAACTGTAAGGGTCTCACCTCGCTCTCGGAAGTCCATTTTTTAGGCGCCTCAAAAATAGACAACTATAAATGTCTCAGCTCCCTCTCGAAAGTCCCCCCTGCTCCCTCTGCTCCCCCTGCTCCCTCTGCTCCCCCTGCTCCCTCCCCTCCCCAACCTTGTGCAGGTGTGGTCGCTGGCCATCAGCCCCCTGGGCGACTTCCTGGTGTCAGGCTCCCACGACCGCTCCATCCGCAGATGGCAGCGCACGGACGAGCCCTTCTTCCTCGAGGTCAGCTTGCTTTGCAGGAGGGGAAGAGAGAGGGAGGGAGGGTGAGGGCGGGAGGGGAGGGGCACAGGGGTCTATTTTTGAGGCGCCTCAAAAAGGGGAGGGGCACAGGGGGGGACGACGTTGATCCATTCGCAGATGGCAGCGCACGGACGAGCCCTTCTTCCTGGAGGTTTGTGTTGTAACTTTTTATTCATGTTCTTCAGTTGGGGAAGAGAAAGGGGGGATGGGGGAGGGGGAGAAGGTTAAGAGGGAAAGGAGGTTCATCCATCCCCCCCATGGAAAGGTTAAGAGGGAAAGGAGGTTCATCCATCCCCCCATGGAAAGGTTAAGGGGGAAAGGCGTGACAGAAGGTTTGTTTTGAGACGTCTCAAAACAAATCTTATATCACGGGGGAGCGAAAGACGAGATGGGGGAGGGAGAGAAAGAGGTTTATCCATCAACCCATGGAAGGGTTAAGGGGGAATGGGGGGCGAGGGAGGGGGGGGAACGGGGACTTGTTTGTGTTGGGGGATTTGACAACGGAGGAGGTTGAGTCGGCCTCAGAGATGGCAGCACACCGAGGAGCCCTTCTTCCCCTTCGCCCCACCACCACCACCACCACCACCACCACCACCACCACCACCAGCACCACCACCACCTGGGAGCACTCGCCCTCCCCCCCCACCACCACCTCCACCACCACCTGCGAGCCCTTCTCTACCCCCCTTCTGGCCCGTGGTGTATTTTTCCGTCCTTGCCTTTAAACAGGAGGAAAGGGAGAAGCAGCTAGAAGCCATGTTTGAGGCGCGGGCCGTGGCGTTACCAAACGAGGGACGCCGCCCAGAAGGCGGCGAGGACGAGGAGGGCGGCGAAGGGGCGGAGGCCAGCATGGGGGGAGGGGGCGCGGTGGGCGAGCTGGGCGGCGTGGGAGGGGCGGCGCGGGGCACTCAGGAGACAGTCTGGGCGGCAGACTCGATTATAGAGGCGGTGGAATTGGCGTCGATGGAAGAGGCTAGGATGACTCCCTTTATCAAGGTAAGGTCTGATATATACGTGTATCTCTAGGCTGGTATCGTTTTGAGACGTCTCAAAATTATCGAGGTAAGGTCTAATGAGGTATATGACTGGTCTGTGTATCTCTAGGCTGGTATCGTTTTGAGACGTCTCAAAATTATCAAGGTAAGGTCTAATGAGGTATATGACTGCTCTGTGTATCTCTAGGATGGTATCGGTGCATGCTGGTTTGGGCTGCAGACTCAATTAGGGAGGCGGTGGTTTTAGCGTCGATTGAAGAGACCAGAGTGACTCCCTTTATCGAGGCAAGCTTTGGTAACGAGCCAAAGTAGGGGTATTGCGGATGTGTCAAGGTAGGGGGTTTGCTGACGTGTCAACGTAGGGGGTTTGCTAACGTGTCAGGGAGTTTGCCCTTCTAACCACTTCCCTTTTTTCCAACTCCCCTCCCCATCTGCCCATCCCTGCCAGGACCCCTTTTTTGAGGCGCCTCAAAAACAGGACCCCCGTGACCCCAACCGTCTCTTGCCATCCTTCCAACCTGACGTGCTTCTCCTCGGCCACCACCCCGCTGCCTTCACTCTTTGTTCAAATCTCAACACTCTGGGTGTTTCTTTGTGCTGCGTCCCCCCTTCCCCCATCTCCCCATCTCCCCCTTCCCCCATCTCCCCATCTCCCCCTTCCCCCATCTCCCCATCTCCCCCTTCCCCCATCTCCCCATCTCCCCCTTCCCCCATCTGCCCATCCCTGGCAGGACCCCAGTGACCCCAACAGCCTGCTGCCCTCCTTCCAGCCCAACGTGCTGCTCCTTGGCCATTCCCCCGCCGGCTTTGTGCTGCGTGCGCTCGCCAGCGTCAAGCCCTCTGAGCTCGAGCAAGCGCTGCTGGTGGGTTGGGGGTGGGATTGTGAGTTGATGTAGGGGGAAATGGGCTTACAAGCACTGCTCCTGGTGGCTCCTGGCCATTCCCCCGCCGTCTTTGTGCTGCGTGCACTCGCTAGCGTAAAGCCGTCCGAGCTCGAGAGAGCGCTGCTGGTGAGTGAAGGGCTGACATGGCTTTGGGGAAACATGGGCACGCTTGCTCCAGCAGCAGAAGCACGCTTTGGGCTTTGGCTTTGGGCACGCTTGCTCCAGCAGCAGAAGCACGGTTTCTGCTCCGCGCCCATTCGCCTTCCGAGTCGACTCATTCCCTTTTTGAGTTAACTCAAAAGGGTTGAAAGGGCTTTGGAGAAACATGAGGACGCAAGCACGGTATCTGCTCCACGCCCATTCCGCTTCAGCCTTGGTGCCCTGTGCTTTCGCCAGTCAGGAAAGGGGTAACAATCACAAGTCCATCCATCTTTCCATCACTGAGTTTAGTTTTGAGGCGCCTCAAAACTATTCGCCAGTGAGGAAAGGGGTAACAATCACAAGTCCATCCATCTTTCCATCACTACGCTTTCTTTCTTCCAGCATTCCCTTGCCGCCTTCGGTCTAAGTGCTTTCAATCCCCACCCCACGCCCCCACCCTATGAGCCAACTCAAGCAATCCCCACTTGGCTCTGCACTGGCCGCACCAGCCGCTGCTGGAGTCAGTCATGAGGCGTCTCAAAACATGTCCGCCTCCCAACCCTCCCCTTTCAGGTGCTTCCGTTCACAGTGCAGTGGCCCTCAGAATTCTGCACTTCGCCCCGCACTTCGCCCTGCACTGGCTGCACCATCCGCTGCCCTAGGCGCCTCAAAACACAGCCATCCGCCCCTCACTATTGCGTCTTCACCTGAGCCCTCCTCTCCCGCCCCCCTCCCCCCTTTCTCCCCTTGCTCCCTTGTCAGGTGCTTCCCTTCACAGTGGCTCTCAGGATTCTCCACTTCGCCCCGCACTGGCTGCACCACCCACTGCCCCAGCTGGAGTTTGCTGCCCGCGCGTTGGTGTCTCTCGTCCGCATCCACCACTCGCAGCTAATCGCCACCCCCACTGCCCGCCCGCTCCTGGCTGCCGTGCACACGCTGCTGAGAGTGTCACTCAAGGTGTGCTTTGGGCTGTCTGATGGGGGGCAATTTGATGCCTGTGTGGTGTGCAAGGGCGTGAAAGGGCGTGAAAGGGCTGCACTCACAGCTCATTGCCACGCCCACTGCCCGCCCGCTACTGGCAGCCGTGCACACGCTGCTGAGAGGATCACTCAAGGTATGGCTTTGGCTGCCCGGGCGTGGGTTGCCAACCCCACCGCCCACCCGCTGCTTGCTGCTGTGCACATGCTGCTAAGGGCTTCTTCATTCTAGGTACGGCTTTGGCTGCCTGGGCGTGGGGTGGTCGTTCACTTGCAGCTCGTTGCCACCCTACTGCACGCCCGTTACCGGCTGCCGTGCATGAACTCTTATGTGCCTCACCCAAGGTAGGTACCTCGCGTCGATGGAATCGCATGGCATGGCATGATGAGGGTGGGCTTTGTTGGGGCGTGGAAAGGGACGAAATGCTGATGGTTGTTCTGACAATCTATGCGACTGTGTGCATGGCATGATGTGGTGGTTTCTTCTATGGCATGGCATGATGTGGTGGTTTCTTCTATGGCATGGCATGATGTGGTGGTTTCTTCTATGGCATGGCATGATGTGGTGGTTTCTTCTATGGCATGGCATGATGTGGTGGTTTCTACTTTGGCATGGCATGATGTGGTGGTTTCTTCTATGGCATGGCATGATGTGGTGGTTTCTATTATGGCATGGCATGATGTGGTGGTTTCTTCTATGGCATGGCATGATGTGGTGGTTTCTTCTATGTCATGGCATGATGCGGTGGTTTGTGCTATGGTTGGCAGGACGCAGTAGCAACCGTTGGATGCAACTTGGCAGCTATATCTCACATCAAGGTGAGCCATTGCCATGGGTGTGTGTATTTCTCTATGTGTGCCGATGGGGGGAGGAGAAATGAGGGAGGATGGGTGAGTGGAGTTGTGTGGATGAGGTTCAGGAATGCATAGAAATGTTTCTCTTTAACTTAGCTTACCAGTTTCTGCCTTCTCTTCCAAACGGCATCCTTGTCTTATATCCCCACCCCACTGTATTGTTTCCCCCTTTGGCTTGCGTTGTCCCCTCCAGTCCCTCCTAGCCTCATCCCAAGCCTCCATGGATGGGGGGGATGCCACTGGTATGGCCGAGAAGGTGAGGGAGATAAGGGAAAGGTTGGCTAAGGGGCGGAATGCTGTGATTGCTGAGAAGCTTCACAGGAGTAAAGCGGAGAAGCGCAAGCGCAGGGCGGAGAAGAAAACTGTGTTGAAGAAATGATTTGCAAGCCGCACTGGGTGGGTGTTCAGATCAGAGACAAGCCATGTGGCAATGAAGTTGTGCTGATTTGTGAATGCAGTCGAAATAAATATTATCACGTAGCTGCAGCGCTCTTGTGGTATCGATATTGCATCTAATGCTAGTTTTGTGAGGGTCACAAATGCTGAAGCTATTCAAGGAAATAGAAATCGGAGATTTTGATACAAGTGCGGATGTTACGGGCTCCAATTTTCTGGAGCTCTAAAGCTCTTGGCGAGTACGCGTTGCACCAATCTGTTCCCTCCACCTGGCAGAGGAGCCCCACCCAAATGTTGCCTCCCGTGCAGGGAAGGTCCACCTACGCAAACTGGAACCGAAGCGCCCATCTCCGCTGTAACTTGCCCAATTCCCAGGAAACGTGAGTTGAGCCTGGCCTTTGGCAGAGCACTTAGCAGGTGCAGATGTGGAGGTGTAGGAGCCCCCAAACGCACTTTCCGCACCAACACTTAGCTCACGTCAAGGAAACTCGCACTGATCTGCCATCGCTTTTTCTGATAGGTCGGTTCCAGCCCGAATGTCTCTGGGCTGGAAACCTTCACCGCAACCCACAGTGGCACGCTGTCTGATCTTTGATGTTGAAACGCGGCTCGATAATTGTGGGGGGGATAAATTGCATTTCTCCATCCTCCAAGCACGCATTTGCAAATCGATCAGGCCCACACACACAGAAACCATATTTATACCATTCAACTGTCTCCGCCATTACTCACATTGCTACTGTCCCGGTCGTTTTGCCATCGAAGAGGCTCGATTCGCTCGAGCGCATCAGCCGGTGTCGTTTCGAACTATATCTCAGCGACTCTTCAATCTTGCATACCTTGCTTCAAGGTGGACTCAAACCCTGATTCGTCCCATCACACACCGCGACTTCACTTACTTCACTGACGTCAGCCCAGTCAATACAGAAACCCGCGACCTCGGCTCAGCATGAGAACTCTCTTCGCCGCGGTTCTCATCTGCATCGTAGTGACAATGTGTGACAGCGGCGGTGTCGCCGAGGCGACGATTTCCCTGAGCCCTGCGACGGAAACGGCGCTTCTCGCGTTCAAGTCGTCTGTCGGCCTGACCGACGCGTCGTGGGCGGCGGGGCAGGCGTGCCTGCCGACGGACGCGGAGCCGGGCGTCACGGCGGGATGGACGGGACTCACGTGTGATGAAGACGGCAATCCCGAGGCAATGTGAGTGCGACACGTGGCTGCACTATGGGATGACATGGCACATGGCGACGAAGTTAAACTCTTGGCTTTGGTTGATTCCGATCTCGTTATACGGTTGATTCTTATTTTGCTCTTCATGTGCCCTAGCCTCGTCCGTACTGTGTGCCCATCCACCCATCCACCCATCCACCCACCCAACCACCCAACGCTCGCTGCAGAATTCTGCCCAATCTCAACCTCCAGGGGTCCATTCCGCCCCAGATAGCGACCCTCGTTACACTCACCGCCATGTAAGAGCTCAGGCATCCCACCAATTAAGGGGCGGTGATCGGCCTTTCCACCCTCCACAGCTGGTAACCCCGTCTATGCACACTGCTCCTCTCTGCCAGAGCCCTGCTGACTTCTCACTTCTCATCCCAGGGGCATCTTAAACCTCTCCATTCCCTTTGCTTCGTCTCACTGCCACGTGTACCTCTGCCACGTGTTCCTCTGCCACGTGTTCCTCTGCCACGTGTTCCTCTGCCACGTGTTCCTCTGCCACGTGTCCTTTGTTCCAGCGAGATGAACAACAACTCCTTCCACGCGCGCCTCTCCGACTTCGTTGGCAACCTGCTCGCCCTGCCCAACCTCAAAACGCTGTGAGCTTTAACCCCTAAACCATGTCAACTACTCACTCTTGAATCCTATTATCCGAACTCGCAATTCCCGCGTCTTTAACTTAGTGTAAAGTGAACTTTCTTTCATAATTAATCCGGTCATCCTTGCACTGTTTTCTCTAGAAATGTTGCTTCCCACGTCCCTCATCCCCGCACGCGCCACTATCCTCAACACCTGCCTCTGCTTGCACAAACACCCTACAGGAGCCTGTGCGATAACTACCTCTATGGCCCCATCCCAGCGTCACTTCTCAACATGCCAATCTTAAACAATCTGTAAGCCACCATCTTCTAACTACTTTCATCTGGGTTGTGTGTTCATGTGCAGAGGCTCAAGCGGCCTCTCGTCTTTGCTCCTCATTTCTGTAAAACCATATTTTGCTGGCAGTCTCCCCTACCTACTCCTACCACTCTCTCGTATGCCCCTCTTATGCCCCACTCTCCCCTTCCCTCCCTTCTCCGGCTCCTCTCTCAAGTTCCTCCCACACCCCTCCCTCGCCCCCCCCCCCCCCATTACCAACCTCACCCCCCCCCCCATTACCAACCTCACCCCCTCCCCCATTACCAACCTCACCCCCCCCCCATTACCAACCTCACCCCCCCCCCATTACCAACCTCACCCCCCCCCCCATTACCAACCTCACCCCCCCCCCCCCATTACCAACCTCACCCCCCCCCATCCTCAGTCTTCTCACCAAAAACTTTCTCTCGGGAGTCGTCCCTCCCTTCTCTGGCTCCTCTCTCAAGTTCCTCTTTCTCAACGGCAACTTTCTCACCGGCGCCTTCCCTGCGTCTCAAGCGGCCTACTCCGCATGCTCCTCCTCCCACAACTGCTTCAGCGACAGCAGCCGGTGCCGCACGGACGGGGTCGCGACTCAGAGGAGCGCAACGGAGTGTGCCATCTGCGGGGCGGGGATTGGTGTGCAGCAGCCGTGTGGGGCGCAGGGGGTGTGCGCACCTGTGGTGACTGACGCTGCAAGCCAGCACGGACAGAAGCTGGAGTTGAAGTGCCTCGGTAAGTGCTTAGCTTACTCGTGTTTGATCGGGCTCCTCATCTACCAGCAGAAGCACGGTACCGTGTATGCGCACTTTATTGAGCATGCCTTGTGCTCGTGGTTGTGCCTCATTCTCAGGGATCTCAGATACGTCGATCCCTCAGCCCTTCTATCAAGAGCTGGTGGCACATTGCAGGTGGCAGTAACCCAGGAGGGGGAGGAGTTGGAGGAACCACCCTCCCCGACAGCAACCCCCACCCCACCCACACCCCCCCCGCGCATGCACGAACCAGAGAAACCCGTGCAAACCCAGCCCGCACCACCAACACATGCTTTCCTGCTCACCTATAACCCCCTGAATCTTACAGATGGCAGTGCGCCAGGAGGAGGAGCAAGAGGCAGACGGAAGGAACCACCCCCCCTGTCAGCAAGCCCCCAGCCCAGCAGCATGCAAGAACCAGAGGAACCCATGCAAGCCCAGCCCGTGCCGCTAACGCATGCTTTCCTGCACACTTATGCCCTCCCATGAATCTCACAGGTGGCAGCAACCCAGGAGGGGGAGGCGGTGGAGGAACCACCCCCCCGGTCAGCAGGCCCCCAGCATGCAAGAACCAGAGGAACCCGTGCAAGCCCAGCCCGTGTCGTCGGCCCAAGCGCTGCATCCGCACCAACTCGTGCAAGGGCAGGGGCTACCGCTGCGGGTGATTTGCCGGCGCAGGACCTAACCACATGTACCACCTACTGATGGTTGATGTTCTAGTATGTACTAGGGAATGTAAATAGCTAGTACTTGACAGGAGTGCTCAGCTCTGTGTGCATTGAAAATTTTCAGGGGGGTTGTACCCTTTTTTGGGCGATAGCACCAATTTGCAGATTGCAGTATAGCATGCTCAAACGACAAGAGAACAAAATGGGACAAAAGCCCAAGCCGTATTTCTACCATATGTACAGCCAGAAAGGGTTGCGGCACCTCCCAGCACAGGAAGCGCACACAGCAACGGGAAGCCCAGATTAGAGGCTTCCAAGAAAAAAGGTTGCCCAGGAAACAGTGGATGAGCATGGAGGAAGGCCCCTGTCTCTGATAGAGAGGAGGATGGAGGGGAAGGATGGTGACGAGGGCTTGATGCTGCTCTGCAGCATGGCAGGCAAACGGTAATGGGCATCACAGCAACTGGCGGGCAGACAGGGCACAGCCAGCACATCAGGGCAGACAGGAAGCTACATAGGTGGCGGGCGCAATCCATGAGGTACCGTCCCACACATCAAGGTGCCTGGACAAGGTGCCTGGACAAGGTGCCTGGACAAGGTGCCTGGACAAGGTGCCTGTCGACAGGCTCTGGCATAGCAGCAGCGCGTCAACCAGCCCCTGGCACTGCAGCACATGCTCTGGGCACCCCCTCACTGCAGCATCTGCTCCCTGCGGCTCACCAGCAGCAGACGAACTCACCCCCTCGCATGGCAGGCGAGCAGCCAGCTGCCGGGCGCAGTGCATGAGCTCCCTCACTTCTACTTGGCCGGAGAGGCTGGAGCACCTCGTCCAGGCCCGGGCAGCACAGCACGTGATCCCTGCGGCTCACCAGAAGCAGGAGAACCCAACCCTGCTTTAGGGAAGACGGGAGGATAGCTGTCTTGCACAATCCATGAGGTCCCACACGTCCAGCTGCCCCGACAGGCTGTTGCACAGCAGCAGCACCTCGTCCAGCCCCTGGCACTGCAGCACCTGCTCCCTGCAGCTCACCAGGATGGCCGCCACCACAAAGAGCAGGAAGTCCGGCCGCGCCCGGCACTCCTGCCACGCCTTCTTCCTCCTGCTGCTGCTGACTCCGCCAGTAACTTTGTTACCAACACTGTCGCTGTTACTATTGCCGCTGTTGGTAGTCTTGGTCCTGGAGTTGGTGTTGCTGTTGGTGCTGGTGCTAATGGCGGCAGTGGCGTCAGTGCTTGTGGGGCTCCTGTCAACGCCTGCCCAGCCAAAAGCAGCACCCCATCCGCTGTCCAGCAGAGGGGCAGTCTCATCATCCCTCTCCCTGTCCTCCTCCCCCACGTGCTCGCCTTCCCCATGGCTCTTCTCCTCTCCCTCAACCGCTTCTACCTTCTCCCACTCGCAATCCTCCCCTGCCTCGGCATCTGCCTCTTTCTCAGCACTACCCACACTCTTCCCACAATCCTCGAAAACAGCAGCAGCCCCAACAGAAGCAGCAGCAGCAGAAGCATCACCAGCAGCAGTGGCAGCAGCAGCACGGGCCACATTTGCAGCAGCGGCAGCAGCGGCAGCTTCAGCCCACATGACCTCCCAGAGGCACATGGTGTGTTCAAACGACAGCTCTCTCCTCATCAGCACCACCACACACCGGTACGCAAACATGCAGCTCTCCGCTCCTACTGCTTCTAGATGCGCGTATAGTGGTGGGTCAGCTGTGCGCAGTAATGCTGCCACCCGCGCCAGCTGGCGCCGAATGCCTCTCTCGTCCGTTCTGAAGTTGTGCCGAGCTCCGCCGCCCGCACTGTTACCAGCAACCATGGTGCTCTCGCTGCTACTGTCGCTGCCAGCAGCAACGCTAGTGCTGCAGTCGCTGCTGCCCACCCCACCTCGCTGCATGAACGCCACGAAGCACCAGAAGGCCTCCGAGTCCTCCTCCAGGAGAGCTACAAACGGGGATAAGAGATCGCTCATCCCCTGGCAGTACCCCACCTCGGGATCGTACACCGCATACGCCTCCAAAATCGCCACCAGCCGGGCAGCATGCAGCCGCTGGGGTGGCGACAGGTGTCCGTGCTCAGGCAACCCCGCTGCTGCTGCCGCCTCTAGGGCTTCTTCGGGCGGGAAGGCCTTCTGGGTGGAGTATGGGATCCAGGCTGCGTTCATCCGCACCGCATCCAACCGCATGATCCGCTGCCAGGTTACGAAGTTCTCCAGGGACCCACTGCCTCGCCCGCAGCTGCTGCCCCTGCCGGCTTGTGGCCCCCCTCCCACTCCTGCTGCTGCTCCGTTGCTAATGCTGGTATGGGAGGGTCTGCGTGGGCAGAAGCACTCCGGGACCTTGCAGTCTAGCGGGTGCTCTTGAAGGTGGTCGCGTGAGGCCCCATCATCATCATCACCATCGTCCGCTGTGCCGTCGCCATCGCTGCTGCGTCCGCCGCTCCCATTGCCACTCTCTCCCCTACAGCTGCCTTCCGTGGCTCCTTCGCCCTCACACCTATCAGCCGTTTCTCCCGCCCCTGCTTCTGATTCTGCGGCTGCTTCCCCTGCTTCGCCTGAAGCGACGGCACCAGCAGCACTCAAAGCAGCAGCAGCAGCAAGCGAGGCTGCATCAACATCAGCGTCAGCGTCAGCGTCAGTGTCAGCGTGAGCATCAGCAGCGTGCTCACGGGCGACATCCACGAAGGATTCGGTGGAGAGGGACAGACTGGCGGACACTGAGTCCACGCACACCGCATCACTGAACTCATCGTCGCTCCGGTTACCACCACCACTGCTCCCGCCCCCGATACCATCATCAGTGGCGTCGGCACCACCACCACCACCACCACCACCACCATCACCATCACCATCACCATCACCGTCGCCATCACCAACAGCACCACCGTCACCAATGCCATCACCATTCCCATCTCCCTGCCCTCTACCATTGCCAACATCACCCCCTCTTCCACTGGACCTGCCCTCCAACTCGACCCCAGTATCCTTCTCCTGAACGTTGCCGCCCTCGCCAGTTCTTCCTCTCCCCCCCTCCTCCCTCTCCCTCTCCTCTCTTTCCTTCCTCCCCCTCTCTTCCCTCTCCCTCTCCTCCCTCTCTTCTCTCTCCTCCTCCTCCCTCATCCGCCTCGTCGCCTCCTCCTCTGCCCGCCGCGCGATCACCGCCACGCGCCCCGCAATCGCGCGTATCTCCTCGTACAGCACGCGCCTCTGCGCGCGCAGCTGCGCTCTCTCCGCCTCCGTGCTCTCCGCCTCGTACCTGGAGCACATAGCGACAGGAATTCGGATTGATTCAACAAGTGAAAATAGCACGAGCCTACGCGAGGATGCGAACGCGGTGAGAACAAGTGAACAAGTGAACAAGAGGGAAGATGCTCGGAGGAGGAGGAGGGGGGGGGGGGTGGAGGAAAGAGAGAGGGCGAGAGGGAGGAGCATGGGGAGAGGAATGCTTGTAGACGAGCTTACATGCCAAGAAGGAATGGCCAGACTTCGGCCCTGATCTCTGCGTCGCATCCCTGCATTAACGGCGCCAGGCACAAAGTGGTAAGCAAGGTGTGTGTAAGGGGGGGGGGGGGGGGGGGGGGAGGGAAGGGAGGGGGGGAGGAGGAGAAACGGTAGAGAGGACACACTAAGAGGTCAACGGCAGGAAACACGGCAGCAGGTGCAGATGCAACCCCAACCCGAGAGTCTAATACGGAGTGCCTATATAGTAAAACCGAAGTAGCGCGGTCGAAGAGCGAGAATCTAGTCACTTACCCCAAGCCGGACACGACCGATAGCCGTCTCGCCGCCACCCTTCAGCCGGCCGGTTGAGTCATCGAAGCACTCCCTCCATTGCTGCACCGTTAGCGGCGCTGGCCTGATAGCCCGGAGTTTATTCTCCCAGGGCAGCATAAACTGACCCCTGCATCATGACAGCCAGACGCAGGAGGGAATGCTCGAAGAAGAGTGAGGAACATGGCAAGCTTATGTCCAGTTCCAGTATTCCTCAGCAGGTCGAGAAACAAGGAGAATCCAGAATATTAGGTCAGGACTAGGAGGCTGAGGACATAAAACGATGAGAGAACGATGAGAGAACGAAGAAGTTAAGCACATACTGCTCTCGGAGAACGATGATGCCTCCGACTGTTACCGCTGCAGCGACGCCGCCGATCGCGGCGACTCCGACGGCAACGGCTAAGCCTGCAGCGACCTTGAAAGGGTCGACATCCGACGCCATCGATGGCATGCTGATATTGCCTAGGTTGTTAAGGTTCCCGGGGATGCCGTCGATGAACCCCATGATTCCGCGGCTCATGCTGAAAGGATCCCTTGATATCAGCGAGCTAGGTTGTACCATTCAGATACCTATGCTGAACAGATCAGCGAACGAACGGAACGCGGCTTTTCTAGAACGGTATCGTTCACATTTCGGATGAGCCTTAGGAAAGGCACGTAGGGTAGCTAACACGGCAGCAACAGAGGGTTCATCCCGTTGTGGGCTAGCAGTGTGACAGAGACTGCGGAATTCTGAAGGGATCGAATGAATGCTCGTGAATGCATCAGGACAGGCAGAGATGCTCTAGCTTTGGCCAAAATGAGGATGATGCTGGGACAGATGGAGAACTCCGGAATAATGGCGGTGTTCCGCTGTTACCACAGTAGTATACTTATGTTGAACTACGATACCGCGCAATGGAGCATCTGACCGCACTGGATCGCTACAAAGCGAGCTGAAATTCGGCACCTGGGGGACAGTTTTGGGATGTAACCGAGTAAAATATCTGGTGGCGGTGGTGTGGTGGTGCTGGTGGCGGAACAGAGAGCTGTCGCTGTCGGCCAGGTGGGTAGGGGGTGGGGGGTGGGGGGGCGGGATAGCGAGGCGGATGGCGGGAGATTGGGGGAGGTGAGGAACCTTGAGGGAAGAGGGGAGAGGGTGGGGGGGTCTGGGCGGGCGGGTCGAGGGTTCCTTCAGGGAATGGGGAAAAGGGGCTGGCATGGGGGGGTTTTGCTTGATTGGTTGGATGCATTGTCCGAGGTCGTTGGTATTTGATCGGACGGTGATGGCGGCTATGCCCCCCAACCATTGAGCGGTCCCCTGAGCCAAATTTCTGACAGCATTGCTGGCTGCCTGGAGTGTGACGAACTTCGACTCCAAACCACGTCAGGTGGACCACGAATGACGGCTGACATTGCCAGCCATGCATCGGCCATGCGTGTGAAAGATGCCTCTGGTGGTTCTGCGACGAATCATGCATGCTGCTTGGGGTTTTCTTGGCAGCTGTGGCAGGATTGCCTTTGACTGCGGTAGTCTCCCAGTTTCCTTCGAAATTTGAGGTTTCTTTAGCCGCACCCTGCCTCACCAGCATGTTTCCGAATGCCACACAATCCAGTCAACAATCGTGCAGTACTTGAGGTTGTTCACTCGCACGTTACACCTAATTTCTAGCGACACATGGTTACCTTGGGCTCAAGCTTTCGCCGAAGAACCATATTTGAGTAGACCTTCTTGCGGCGGGGCCTTGACCATTAGCCACTTTCCACGTCACCTAAAGTCCCAAGCATCGTGGCGACCAGAAGACCCTGAACCACAAGGGATGGGGCAGCGTGGCATTCTGGCGAGCTGAGCAGGCCCGCCGCGTCGTAACACGGCGTGCGGCCAACGTTGCGATACCTTTCACCGGAAATTACGCGAGCCTGTTAGCGCCAGGCAAGGCTAAATGGATTCCCTTACGGCTATGCACACGTGGCTCGCCCACACAGCCACAAACGCCCCAGTGGATTCCAAAAGCGCCTCGACTGCCAACCATTACCTAGTCGGGAATTCCCTAAATGCTGGTGCTTTGCTAAGCGAAAGCGCCAGCCATGCGCTCCGCAATTGTGGCTCGCAAAACCCCATCCACCCAACCTAACCCATTCAGCCAGGGAAAGCTCCGTTGTGAAACTGGCACTGCGATGTGCCGCCAACGCCTGGCCCAAGGCTTTCTTCTCCTCACAGGCTCACGACACGAGTCACACTTCCCGCTCACGCCCAGCAATCAGTGATCCCTCGCGCGATCACATCAAAACCTGACTTTTACTTTGGTTGAAGTCCCCTTACCTTTCCTCATTTGGCACTCTCTCCCATTACTCAGCTCCTTGTGAGCTGTGAGGAGGTGCATACAATCTCCGTAAGGGGCTATACCTCAGTCACATTTGTTGGTTGCCGATCACCTCTGCAACCATGTCGCACTCCGTCGCGATCCGCAGTGCGCCCGTCGAGGCTGCTCTGCTCGAGTCCGTCGCGGCTCGTTCCGCCGCCTCTCCTCAGCGGCGAGTGCGGTTGGCCGGTCTCAAGACCTTCCGCAGAGGACATGTAAGTCAGAGCTGAACCTACACATCCAGGTGTCGTCAGCACATGTCGTCAGCACGTATCGCGAGCAGATGTCCTATGGACTTTTCAGGATGCACACTTTCCTGGTCCTGATTCGTCTGGCTAAGCTGTCGATGTTTAACGGTCACGGGTGCCCTGAAAGTGTTTAATGCAAACACGATCGTAAGCTCAGGGTCCAAGGGTTTGAGTCTGCGACACAATCACGTCACGTCAATTGGATTTTATACTTTGGGCTTATGCTTTCGCCGTCGCTGCACGCTTTTCATACCTCTCCTGACTGAAAGAGCTGGGTAAAAGCAACGGCAGCTTGAGGCACAGCTCTTGCTAGGCTCCATTCAGCCTGAATCTGTATACTGGGCTTATACTTTTCTCTGTTTCCTTTCTCTGTTTCCTTTCTCTCTTTCCTTTTTCTCTTTCCTCTCTGTGGATGTAACAGCTCGGTCAGAGCATCGCGGCGACAGCTCTAGGAACATCTGCCGCGGGGCTACAATCTAAGCGGAAGACTAATGGCCGATCCGCAGTGCGCGCCGCGGTCGCCGTTGAAGCTCCTGGTATGTCAATGCACAAAATACACTAAACTATGAACACCATGAAGTCAGATTTCCCTGGCGGTCTGTCGCCACCCCTTAAGCTTTACATTGTTCTTAACAAGGAACACTGACACGTCATCATTCCCTCGTTGTAGCTGATCCTGTGGCAGGCGGCGGAGAGGCGGTAACTCGCACCGACATTCGCAACATCGCCATCATCGCGCACGTCGACCACGGCAAGACGACGCTCGTCGACGCCATGCTGCGACAAGCCAAGGTGCGCGAGCGACGCTCCGTGCGACCAGCTAGAACGCCGCAGAGATGCCCTATGCGACCAGTCGGGTCTCAATAACGACATCCGTGGAATCATGCAGTGCTGATCTTGTAACGATCACATTGAATTCACGTGAAAAGCGATAACTCTCAAATATCCCAAATCTACCGCCGTCCCTCACTCCCTTCCCTCTCCTCCCTCTCTCAACCCCCTTGCTCCGTACGCGTTATCAGGTGTTCCGCGACAACCAGCAGATGCAGGAGCGCATCATGGACAGCAACGACCTGGAGCGCGAGCGCGGCATCACGATTCTGAGCAAGAACACGGCTATCCGGTTCCGCGGCACCAAGATCAACATCATCGACACGCCCGGCCACTCCGACTTCGGCGGGGAAGTCGAACGCGTGCTTAACATGGTCGACGGCGTGCTGCTGCTGGTGAGTCGTTTACTGGTACCGGTGATTGCTAGTGAGCCACGGATGCTCAATTGCACCTCGCTTTTGCTCCCTCATCCTCCCCCCGTTACCCGCTCCCCTGCCTCCTCATCCTTCCCCCGCCTCTTTCCCCCCTCCCCTCAACTTCTCCTGCGAGTGCTCTCCTCTCCGCCTCTGCGCCCTCCACCCCTTCAGGTCGACTCCGTCGAAGGCCCCATGCCTCAGACCCGTTTCGTTCTGAAGAAGGCTCTGGAGCTGGGCCACCGCGTGGTGGTCGTAGTAAACAAAGTGGACCGCCCGGCGGCGCGCGTGCAGCACGTGATCAACTCGACGTTCGAGCTGTTCTGCGAGCTGGAGGCCACGGACGACCAGTGCGACTTCACCACGGTGTACGCCAGCGGCATTCAGGGCAAGGCCGGCATGGAGCCCGACAATCTTGCTGATGATCTTGAGCCGCTCTTTGAGAGCATTATTAAGTGCGTTCCCGGGCCGAGGGTGCAGCCGAGCGCGGCACTTCAGATGCTGGTTACCAACCTGGATTACGACGAGCACAAGGGGCGGATTGCGATTGGCCGCGTGCACGCGGGAAAGATTGCCAGAGGCCAGGTGGCGAAGATCTGCACGCCCGATGGTAACTGCCGCGTGGCGAAGGTCGTCGAGCTGTTTGTGTACGATAACTTCGCGCGTGTGCCGGTTGATGACGTGGAGGCGGGGGATATCTGCGCGCTCTCTGGGCTGCCGGACGTGCAGATCGGCGAGACGATCGCGGATCGCGACGGCGACGCGCTGCCGACGATCTCGGTGGAGGAACCGACGGTCAAGATGAGCTTTTCGGTGAACGTGTCGCCGTTCGCGGGGCGCGAGGGCAAGTTCGTGACGTCGCGGAACCTGAGGGACCGGCTGATGCGCGAGCTGGAGAGGAACCTGGCGATGAAGGTGGAGGACGGCGAGAGCGCCGATACGTTCCTGGTCAGCGGACGCGGGACGCTCCACATCACCATCCTGATTGAAAACATGTGAGTATTCCTGGGGATATATATGAAAACATATATTGAGTATTCCTGGGGACTGGGTGATGGCAGTGGAGGAGGTTGGGGAGAGAGCGGACACTTGCCTGCAGACGCTTTGCCCTCGCTGACTCGCCCCATTTTCTCATGCGCTTTCCGGCCCTCTCTCTTGGCACCTCAATTCTGCGTGGCAGGAGGAGGGAGGGGTACGAGTTCATGGTGGGCCCGCCCCGGGTGATCAACAAGGAGGAGAACGGCAAGACGCTGGAGCCGTACGAGGTGAGCAGAGCAGGGAACAGATGCGGGAGGATACTGGCCGGTGGGAGGGTGGCAGTGGCAGTGGCAGTTGCACATGTGAATTCACGGTGGGCCCACCCCGGGTGATCAACAGGGAGGAGAACGGCAAGACGCTGGAGCCGTACGAGGGGAGGTCTGATGCTAGAGCCGTACGAGGGGAGGGTCCGATCATAGTCAAGCAGGGTTAGCAAAGAGCAGAAGATACCAAATCACCATGGCTGAGCTGAGCAGAGCTGAGCAGAGCTGATAACCACGATGAGGAGTATGTGGGGGCGGTGGTGGACATGCTTGGTATGCCCTGTACGCATCATCACCCATCTCCCTCCTCCTGTGTCCCTGCACTCATTCTTAAACTCCTGCAGGAAGCGGTGGTGGAGGTGCCAGAGGAGTATGTGGGGGCGGTTGTGGACATGCTTGGCACACGCAAGGGGCAAATGCTCGACCTGCAGGCCTCCAGGTGAGATACTAGGGCATTCGGCTGGGACGCCAGGGCGCTCTCAGGTGATTTGCCAGGGGTCCACACATGAGATGCCAGGTGCCTGAGCTCCAGCGTCCAGAAAATCGTGAAATTTTCAAATATGTTGTGTGCCAACCGGTTGGGTTGGATCCACATGTGACGGAGTCAAAAGTCAGTCACCTGTGACAGACAGTTATGAAGAAAAAAGTGAAATCTCCCCTTCTTTTTTCCCCCACCCCTCCATCCCACTCCATCCCCTTCCATCTCGCTCCCTCCTCCAGCTCTGGCACCACTGTGGTGAAGTACCGCGTTCCCGGCCGCGGGCTGCTGGGGCTGTGCAACGCCATTCTGACTGCCACATAGGGCCATTCACTCATCCTCTCTTCACCTTTCCCTTTCTCACCTTCCCCTTTCTCCCTCTCCTCCAGCTCTGGGACAACTGTGGTGAAGTACCGTGTGCCGACCCGCGGGCTGCTGGGGCTGCGCAATGCCATGCTGACGGCCACGCGTGGCACGGCGGTGATCAACACCATCTTCGACAGCTACGGGCAGTGGGCCGGCGACATGAGCACGCGCGAGCAGGGCTCCCTGGTGTCTTTCGACATGGGCCCAACCACGTCCTATGCGCTCTTCAGCTGCCAGGAGAGAGGGCAGCTGCTGCTGGGGCCGGGCGTGGAGGTGTACAAGGGGCAGATCATCGGCCTGCACCAGCGGCCTGGGGACCTGGACCTGAACGCCTGCAAGAGGAAAGCCGCCACCAACGTGCGATCCAACAAGGATGCCACAGGTCCGTGTGCGGATGTGTGGTGGTGTGTGTGTGAATGCGTGTGTGTGTTTGAGGAAGAGAAGGGAGCAAGGGTGGGGAAGGTCAGAGGGAGATGGGTCTGATGTGGTGCATCGGAGCTAGCTCTTTGTGTCGCATTTTGCGCAAAGCATAGCTTCTAACATTCTGTTTGTTGGTTTTTATGTCTCCTTGCAGTGGTGTTGGCGGCGCCCCTTGAGTTCAGCTTAGATGACTGTGTGGAGTACATTCAAGAGGATGAGCTAGTGGAGGTGACGCCCCTATCAGTGCGCATGTTAAAGAATCCCAGGATGGGAAAGAAGGGCAAGAAGTGATCCGTCTGCTGTAACTTCCTTTACATTGTTTACGTTTCTTTTGATAATATATTGCTAGTTTCCAAAAGCCTCATACAGAGGAACGAGATAGAAGCAAACTGGTAGGTTGGTGAAGTGATCTTGAGTCTGAGGTAGGAGGGGGTTTCGATAGAAAGCGCTAAACCGAAACTGGTGAACTCGAAATCGAGGATGCATGTCGGGACCATCTCATCCCTCGCAAATTGTCTCCTAGAAAATGACGAGGGAGCAGCTGATACAGTTTGATGGAAAGTTATGCAGTAGAGAGTTCATTCTGCCATGCTTGGATTTCATGCCAAACAATCTGGCATCCTTCGGGTCAATCTCCCTCGCACGCGACGAATTCACGAGCCACAAGGTAGCATGCGTCGATGCGTGGCGCCAAGCGACCAAGTGCCGCGCTGTATCCTCGTCAGCACCTGTCGGCGAGGCGTCGATGGCATCACAGCGATGAGCATTGACGACAGATTTTCTCGGAAGAATGACCTGAAGCCTACGATAGACGGAGGCGGAGCTACGGGATGGACGGATGCTAAGGTGAACTTCTTGCTAGCAGCTCCAGCGAGCGCTGCTCTATGACGCAGCCTTGCATATCCTTCTGAATGCGTCTCGGATGCGAGCTACGTCGTACCATTCTCGTTGTGCCGGTGTCTAGTCGCTACTCCCTCTCGCTTTCGTCCGACTTACTTCTCCGTCTGTTGCCTGCCGTCGAGCCTGAGATGAGGGTCCCCCGTGTCGCTGCCGTATTTTCAGCCGTTTTTCTCATTCTTCAAAGTGAGCGACACGTTTCGTGCTTGGCTCCCAATCAACTTGTTCCTCTAAAAGTCACAACACTCCACGGCTTGTCTGTTGTGTCTTTCCAAAACTTCGTCGTTGGTTTTAGTCACCACTTGGCTGCTTTCTATCATTCCTTGCTGTACATGCACAGGTGCGGAAGCCAGGCTTCAACCGCCATGGACGCTGAGCCTGGAGCATGCGGCATCAGAGCGTCTGGGGGGAGGCGACATCACATCTTATGCCTTGGACGTCCTCCGGGAAGCAGCTGACGCGTCCGTGGAGAGGCTTGTCATTCGCCAGTGCGGACTGCTGCTGCCTCGCGTATCCATAGGCTCCCCCTCTCTGCTGTTCATCCAGCAAGGTAAGCTACGTTGCTGTATCTTGCCGTGTCAGCCTGTCTAGGAGGAGGCGACATCGCGTCGTACGCCTTGGACGTTCTTAGGGAAGCTGCTGACGTGTCCGTGGAACGGCTTGTCATTCGCCAGTGGGGACTGCTGCTGCCCCGGGTGTCGATTGGCTCCCCGTCTCTGCTGTTCATTCAACAAGGTAAGCTGTGTCAGCCTATCTTCCCAGCGTCCTGACTAGGTCCTTGATCCATTTCTCCCTTTCCCCCCTTTCCTCCTCTTGATCTATAAAGCACCTTTGTTCGCCGACTTGCTGAAGGCACCCTTTCTTGCCTGTTTGACCGTCCACCATTTTGGTTCTTTTCTTGTCCTATCCTTTGACTGCTTCCCAATAATTCTTTTTGTTCTCCTGTGGCATTTTTGTACCAACAATCCCAGGGTCGGGTGTGGTGGAGCTGATAGATGACAACGGCCAGACACCTGCTGACGTGTCACCAATCACTGTGAACGGTGGGGATGCGGCGGTGATTCCCAAGGGGTGGACGTACAGCGTTGGGAATTACCTTAACGAATCTCCAGAGCTCATCATCACAGCCGTCAGATTCAGCCACCACAAGCAGGTGAACGCACACCCAGTCAGTGTTACATAGTAGACTGCGTGGGGAATTACCTCAATGAATCTCGAGAGCTCATCATCACGGCCCTTAGATTCAGCCACCACAAGCAGGTGAATACGCTGAACCTTTGATATATACTCCAGTGGATACTCTGTTTCGTTATACGCTGTTTCTTTATACTCTGTTTCTTTATACTCTGTTTTTCCATACTCTGGAGCCACTAATTTCAGTCAATTGACTGCTCGTTCGGGTTCCACCTGATTGCATGCTAACTCAACTAGCTTCCCTGTCCTCCCTCCCCTCCCAGAGATCGTACCTTGCGGGCAGCAGGCCCCACTCGGTGCTGGCTGGCTTCAGCCTCCACATCCCGGAGACGGCATTCCACCAGCAGCACGACGTGGTCAGGGCGCTGCTGCACCACGCCACTGGGGGAGGGATAATCGCCTCATTCTTTGAGATTCTCCTCCATACATCCCCTCTTGCCGCTGCCTACCCCCGTTCCCTGCCTTCCCTCCCAGAAATCGTACCTCGCAGGCAGCAGGCCCCACTCGGTGCTGGCTGGCTTCAGCCTGCACATTCTGGAGACGGCGTTCAACCAGCAGCACGACGTGGTCAGGGCCCTCCTGCGCCAGGCCACTGGGGGAGGGATCATTGTGTCCCACTGCGTTCCACCCTCGCCTCCCACGCCTGCTGCAGAGGAGAATTCACCAGGGGAGAGTGCGGCAGGGGAGGGTGCGGCAGGGGGGGAAGCGGCGGGGGATTGGGAGGAAATAGGAACGGGTAGGGGGGTTGCTGGGATGAGGATGGGTTTGGCTGAGGGCGAAGTGGAGGTCGGGGAAGAGAGCAAGAAGGGTAAGGGAGGGAAGAAGGAGATGAAGGGGAAGAAGGAGAAGGGGAAGAAGGAGAAGGGGAAGAAGGAGAAGGGGAAGAAGGAGAAGGGGAAGAAGGAGAAGGGGAAGAAGGAGAAGGGGAAGAAGGAGAAGGGAAAGAAGGAGAAGAAGAAGAAAACGGTTCATCTGGTGGACCATGTGGCAGCCAGGCAGCCAGCAATCGCCACGGCGGGGGGCAGCATGGTCCGTGTGTCGTACCGAGACTTCAAGGCGCTCAGGCTGGCAGGCATTGTGGGGGAGATCGTGCTGCTCACGCTCTACCCGGTATGTCTCTCTTAAGCCCCACCACTTGTGACAAGGGCGCTCAGGCTGGCAGGCATTCAGGGCAGGATCGTGCTGCTCACGCTCTACCCGGTATGTGTGTCTGTGTCTCCTTACTTAGGATGCCTCGGTGATGCTCTCTGTTTTTCATGCCTCATCCTGTGTTTGCTCGTAGGTTTGTTTACTTACTGAAGCATAGGCCTTTCTATCGAATCTCGTCTTTCATCCTCCGCCCCCCTTCCCCCGCCGCTTCTAAATCCAACATTCCAGCATGCAGTGGTGGCGCCTCACATCCATGGCAATGCTGCAGTGGTCTTCACTGTGCTCAAGGGCTCCGGCCACTTTGAGTCTGTGCATCCCAACGGCACGGCGGCCGCCAGCGACATTGTGCAGACAGGTCATGTGGGCGTGGTCCCCACGGGGTATGCGCACGCCCTGCAGGCAGGAGAGCAGGGAGTGCAGATTCTGGGCATACGGATGGGTTCCTATCATCCATCCATCAAGTTCCTTGCAGGTAAGAAATTACGGGTAAACTGCACGCGTTTGCATTCTTACATTCTCCTGTTGGGTGGGTTGGTTGCTAACCTCGTCTCCACTCTTTGAGCAGGGAGCAAGAGTGTGTACAAGGCGATGAGGCTGGCACTTGGTGCTGAAGCTTTCAACATCACCGAAGAGGACTTTTATAACTTCTTCCGTGCTCAGGATAGCCCTGGGATAGTTCCTTGGAAGGGCCCCACTCCGGGGATTGCTGTTGGGTAGTGTTCAGCGTTAGTGTGGTTGGTCTTGGAGAGTCTTGGTAGGGTGCTTTGGTTTGGTTTCAAGCTTGTGGTTTGGATACCCAGTGCACTTACTCAGGTCCTTAGCTGTGTGTCAGGAAATGCCGACCATTCGCTTGTTTTGTCAACCTCCACACTCATTTTGCAGTCCTTGAACATGGGGAAGAACATGGAGTTTAGCTTGTAAAGTTACACGTTCTAATGATATGATGAAGTAGCAGATTACGATATACATTTTGCTGCACTTAGGCCAAGCTCCAAAGTGTGTGCATTGTCCACGTGTAGAGGGCACTGGCACGCCACGTGTGAGGCAGCAAGGCGTTGCTTCTGGTGCTTTCCCTCCCTGTACGCGATTGCGTCAGCGTGTCCACATTCCCGCCAACATCCCTGCCTTGTTCACCCAGTCGCGATTCTTCGCGAATTCTTTCTGACTCGTCGCTGGGTGCCCGAAAAGATTCGTCGTGTTCGTTACATTAGCAAACCATCACGAACCTCGAGATTGTCTCCCTTCACTCCACCAAATACTGCTGGATCCTTGGGTTGTCCATCATAGTTTGGCATTATCTATGCTTCATATGCTTGATCCGACGGTCTCCCAGATAACTCAATACCTCTAAGACTATCACGATCCCCAGTCCGTTGTTAGTGGTTCTGGTCGAGAATATTCATAAAGGCACCGTCAGGACGCGATGTCGTTGGGTTTGTGTCAAGGAGCAACCATGGCTGCTTGTCAGATTCCGTCAGCGTCAGTTAGGCTAGCGGCTACCAGTCAGCTCCACCCACCTGCCGGATCCTCCAGACACTCGTCCTTCGCGCCGTCTACCTTCTCGTTTTCGTCTAGAGACGAGTTTTTCCGGCCAGGACAAGTGGCTCTGCTCAGAAGCAGGTTACCCGGTTCGCGTGGCTCAGGATCGCGAGGAGCGAGACTAACGGTCAGGGCAGCGGCTGATTACTACTCCACGCTCGGTGTTGCCAAGAACGCGACGAAACAAGACATCAAGGGCGCGTACAGACGACTCGCTCGGCAGGTAATGCTTTTCGAATGTATGGTTATAGAAACAACTTGAAATGTTTACGAGCGCTGTACTCGTCGTGATCGTCAAGAGCGCGTACCGACGACTCGCTTGGCAGGTATAAGCTCGAGTGATACCGACGGCTTTTCACACTACATTTGCTGTTGGTCTGTGCTTATACTCTGCAACATTCCACCAGATTCATCGCGTTTTGTCCTGCTTCGACTCATGCTGATCTGGCCTCTCGTTTTCCTCCGCGTTCCCTTCTCGTCCACCACGTCCAGTACCATCCCGACGTCAACAAGGATCCTGGGGCTGAGGACAAGTTCAAGGAGATCAGCACAGCTTACGAGGTAAGCGATGCCAACCTCATGTGGCCTCCTAGCTACCACTTCCCCCCTAGCTACCACATCCCTCCTAGCATGTGCCCTTCTCGCTGCCACTTCCCATCCCGACGTCATCGAGGATCCAGGGGCCGGTAGATAAACACGCCACCTGTCGTTCTCCTCTCCCCTCAGGTGCTGTCTGACGGCCAGAAGCGGCCGCTGTACGATCAGTCTGGGCAGACTTTTGAGTAGACGAGAAGCGACCGCTGTAAAAAAACACACCACCCGCCATTCTTCTCTCTCTCAGGTGCTGTCTGACGACGAGAAGCGGCCACTGTACGATCGGTTTGGGGAGGCGGGCGTATCGGGGTCTGGTGGCATGGGAGGGGCGGGAGCATACACTGTGAGTATGGGATGCGCGGGTGTTGCTTAAGGTAGATGCTTTTAATAGTGGCGCCTTGTAACCGAAAGGACTGATCAAGATGGCGGACACGGAACGGAAGTATAACGGCACACGACAACCCACCCTGCTACTACTTGGAGAATGCTTTTCCGAACTGCTATTCAGAATCGTACACGAAATCTGGCACACATCACCGAACAGCTACTAAGCCAATCACTGAACTCGGACTTTAAACCACACGTCGTGACTTAACTATTTTGTGACTGCTCTGGGCTCGGATCCCTGCCTTGTGGCCGTGCAGTCGAACCCCTTCGACCTGTTCGAGTCCATATTCGGACCCGGTATGGGCGCCGCTGCCAGGGGAGGCATGGGCGGAATGGGCGGCATGGGAGGCGCTGCAGGTCCCCGGACCCGACAACCCGTTCCTGGCGACGATGTGAAGTGAGTGTGCCGAGGAGGGATGTGAGTGATCGAGGGAGCGGAGTTGAGTGATCGAGGGATGGGATGTGAGTGATCGAGGGAGGGGAGTTGAGGGATCGAGGGAGGGGAGGTGAGTGATCGAGGGAGGGGATGTGAGTGATCGAGATAGGGGTGTCAATGAGTGGGGAGTGAGTGCAAGGGGCAGAATGGAGATGCCCCTTGAGTTCCGTGAGGTGACATTTGGTGCAGGGAAGACAATCAATGTGGCGCATCTGGGCGGGTGCAACCAGTGCAACGAGTGCAGCAGGACACGACAAGACAGGAGCCAATCTTGCCTCGCCTTCCCCCCGCCTCCACCCCATCCCAATCCCCATCCCGCACCTGCCAGAATGGAGATGCCTCTGGAGTTCCGCGAGGTGATCTTCGGCGCAGAGAAGACCATCAACGTGGCGCACCTGGACGGCTGCAACGAGTGTGGCGGGTCGGGAGCCAAGGCTGGCACGTCCCCCCGCACGTGCCCCACCTGCCGGGGCATGGGGCAGGTCATGCAGACGCGGCAAACGGCCTTCGGCATGTTCTCCTCGGTACGTCTGCTGTGAGTGCTAGCATGATAATGTCTGGGGGCTGGGGGTTGACTCTGAACCCCCCACGTTGTGGAGCATGGGGCAGGTCATGCAGACGCGGCAGCGGCATTTGGCATGTTCTCCTCCGTACGTGAGTGTGAGGGGTGGCAGGGTCTTTTGGAACACAGGCTGTCTGTTGGTGCATTCATCACTGGTAGGATCGTCGAGTAGAACATGCCAAACCCTCCCCACAACCCGTTCCCCCCCTCCCCCCCCCCTCCACCCCCACCCACCCCCGTTTCCCCCTCTCCCCCACCACCACCCTTCCCAATCCGCAGGTGTCCACGTGCTCCACGTGTATGGGAGTGGGAGAGGTGATATCTGAGTTCTGCCGCAAGTGTGGGGGCGAGGGGCGGGTGCGCACGCGCAAGCCAGTGGTGATCAACGTGCCGGCTGGGGTTGACTCGGGCACAGTGTTGCGAGTGAAGGGGGAAGGCGACGCCGGGATGAGAGGGTGAGTAGGGGGAGTAGAGGAGGCCGCATGTGGGGCTCTAACCTCGAAGGCCATGGGAGTGGGGGAGAGCAAGCCATTGGTGATGAACGAGCAGCGGAGGTGGACTCAGGCCCGGTGCTGCAGGTGTGGGGGAGGGGGGGACGCAGGGCTGAGGGGGTGAGTTTCTTTTTAGAATGGGAGTGTTAGCGGGTACACAGTAGGGATGTGCAAACCAACGGTGATCAACATACCGGCGGAGGTGGACTCGGGCCCGGTGTTGCAGGTGTGGGGGGGGAGGGACGCTGGTTTGAGAGGGTGAGTGGGTGTGGGGCTTGGACATATGTCAGCCAATGGGCATAGGAGGGGGCAGGTGTGAACGGGCGGGGGAGGTGGACGCGGGCCCAATGCTGCGGGGGTAGGGGGAGCACGACGCTGGAATGAGAGGGTGAGCGCGTGCGGGGCTGAGACATGGGTCTGTTAATAAGCATGGGAAAGTATGGGGGTGAGAGAGTTGCAAGCCAGTGGTGATGAACGGGCCGGCGGAGGAGGTGGACGCGGGCCCGATGCTGCGCGTGTAGGGGGAGCACCACGCTGGAATGAGAGGGTGAGTGGGTGTGGGTCCGTCAATAAGCATGGGATGGTATGACAGTGAAGGATGTGCAAACACCTCTCTTCTCCTCCATCCCTTCGCTCGTTCGCCACCTCATCACCAGGGGCAAGCGCGGCGACCTGTACGTGTTTGTGAAGGTGAAAGAGGCGGCGGGCATTTGCAGGGGCTCTTTGGCCTAGACTAACCTCCGAACACCCTCCAACCCATGCGTTGTTCTTTCTGGCCTGTCTTATTGCCAGGGGCAAGCGTGGCGACCTGTACGTGTTTGTGAAGGTGAAAGAGACGGCGGGCATTTGCAGGGGCTCTTTGGCCTAGACTAACCTCCGAACACCCTCCAACCCATGCGTTGTTCTTTCTGGCCTGTCTTATTGCCAGGGGCAAGCGTGGCGACCTGTACGTGTTTGTGAAGGTGAAAGAGACGGCGGGCATTCGCAGGGACGGCATCAACCTCTACTCCAACGTCAGCGTTGACTACACTGACGCCATCCTCGGCACTGTAGCCAAGGTACGGTCTATCGATAAATAGTTACCCGAAGTGCCGTTAAGGCTTCTACTGCAGTGGCTTAGTGTAATCAGGCTGGGCACATTTGCAGGGACGGCATCAACCTCTACTCCAACGTCAGCATTGACTACACTGACGCGATTCTTTATAGCAAAGGTATGAATTATTCATAAATAGGCATGAGGCTGAATGAAACAAAAGTGTGAAAGTTTGCCCGTACTTGGGGGGAACCAGCCTGGAAATCCAGTGGTTTTGGCGCGCAAGGGAGTGCCCAAGGTGCCGTTAAGGCTTCTACCACAGTGGTCCGCATATCTTTCTCAAGTGGTCTGCATATCTTTCTCAAGTGGTCTGCAAGTCCCAGCAGGCACCCAGCCGGGGGATACGCTGGTGCTGGAGCGCAAGGGCGTGCCCAAGGTGGGGAAGAGCAGCATCCGGCTGATTGCTCTGTCATCCTCTCCTCCTTGCCCATCCTCTCTCCCTGTTCACCCATTCAGGTGGCCACAGTGGATGGAGCAGCAGAGCTGCGCGTGCCAGCAGAGCAGGCATGCAGCCGGAAGATACGCTGGTGCTGGAGCTCAAGGGCGTGCCCAAGGTGGGGAAGAGCAACATCTGGCCGATTCCACTCTTCCTCCTCACCCATCCTCTCTCCCTCCTCACCCATTCAGGTGGCCACAGTAGACGGGGCGGCTGAACTGCGCGTGCCAGCAGGCACCCAACCGGGGGATACGTTGGTGTTGGAGCGCAAGGGCGTGCCAAAGGTGGGGAAGAGCAACATCCGCGGCGACCACTTCTTCCAAGTCAACGTCTCCATCCCCAAACGAGTCAGGTGCGTGGGTGGGCTGGCGCTTATGTGGGCTATTCATGAGCAATTCAGCAGCTCCTTTCTCTTTCTCTCGCCACTTGTTCTATGTCGACGTCTCCATCCCACGAAATGCCTAAGAATCAACATGCACTTTCCCCTTCCCCCCCACCCTCCCCCGTTTTCTCCCTGCATGCACCTCACAACACACCCTGCACTCTTCCTCCTCGCTCCCCGTCTCCTCTTTGCCCTTCCAGCCCAACGGAGCGAGACCTGGTGGAGGAGCTGTCAGCCATCCACAAGACGGGCAAGACTCGCACAGGCATCACTGTGGAAGGAGCCAGTGAGTGCAATCGATGCATGCATGCTTGCTTGCGCGTGCATGTGTGTACATGTGTACATGCCCATCTCTGTTAGCGTGCATTCCGTTTTCGTCGTCTATCTTCCTTGTGCCTTTCCTCCCCTCCCCCCCCCCTCTCTTCCTTACCTCTTTCCGTCATTGCTTTTGGTATGCTCGCAGGGCCGCGTGGCTCCTCCTCAAGCTCAGCCATCGATGGGGAGGGCATCGTCGACACGGTCAAGTGAGCCTCTTAATCTCTTGCCTTTTTTAGCCAAAGAAAAGTCTTGTTTCGAGTCTGCCACGCAAGCATGGCTCGCCAGGACCCTTCAGGTAGCTGGAGGGTCAAGCAGGCATGTGTGTTGCTGGCAGCTGTCCTTAGGAGCCAAGCCCACTAGTAGGTCGTTTGAAAGGGGAATGACCTCCAGTTCACGCACTTGGCGTGCACTCATTGGTTGCTTTGATTGCTGCTGCAGAGGGGCCAAACGGGTGATCCAAACCATCCAATCAGAAGCCAGGAGAATCACCAAGGAGACTCTACAGCCTTTTGTGTCGTCCGCCACGCCAATCACATGGCGCCATGTGGCAAATGCAGCATTGCTGGCTGCAACAGTGGCACTGTTCATAACTGTTGCAGTGTCTGGGGCACGTGGGGCGTGGGCGTGGCTGAGAGGCCGCTTGCGATAAGACCTCCCCCATACGAGGGGTATCGCATGCTTTCCTTCCTAGTAGTAAGCTTCCCCCCTTGCTTCTCCCTTTCTTCTCTTTCTGCTGTGTGTCTCACCGCCCACCCCTTTTATATCCTCCCCACCCGGCCCGCCCGTGATCCTCTCTCCGTCCTTCCACTAAACTTGCAGGAATGTTGTCTCTGGCATAAAAAACTTCTTCAGTAAGTGAGCTGTGGTGTGGAGGAGGCTTTGTGCTTCGCTGTCGAAACAGTTTTGAACCAATCATTAGCTAGCTCTGAGATCATTGGCTTAGTTTGCGGAGAATTCGTGCTGACCCGCATATTTAGCGCTTGGTGTGAGAGATGGTTGTGTATTTTATTGTGCGGTTGATTATTACCAAGTGAGTGCTGTTTTCCAACAACCCTAGCTGTTTTCCAAGAACCCAAGAATCCCATCAGCCCTCATGACCAACCTTATGAGTTTGGAAAGGAAGAGAGATCAGCTAGATCTAGCTACCACATGAACATTCTACAAACACAGGCATTGCAATTTGCAAGGCCTGCTGCAGGTGTTGCTTGCTTGTGCAGTCCGCGCATGATGATCCTAACAAGCTCTCCTCATGCAGCATGTCATGGGCGTAGGCAGTTGGCGCGCAGGGGCGGCTACACAAGCAGCCTATCAGAATGAATAATAGCTAGAATGGGGAGATACAAGGCAATATAGATTGGTGAGCTGCACCCACTGAGGCACAAACACATTTAGTCTACAGTAACTGCATAAGTTATGTTTGACACACCCCCTATGTCAAAAGACTAGCTTAGCTAGGAAGCCATAGAATGGCACAAGGTTTAGCTAGGAGCTAGGAGGAGCCATGAGAATGGCGAGAGGTTTTAGGTGCTAGGAAAGTTGAGGAGAGAAAAGAGAGTTGGATTAGAAGAGAGGGGAGTACAAGGAGGGGTTTGTACCCCCTACAGAAAGGTTCAGTAACAACCTACCAAGCCTATATTAAATTATAACTTATATAATTTGAACACACCCCCTAGGCTTGGTAGTCACATGCCCACACACACCCACACCCCCTAACCTAGCACCCCCATTCCAGCCACAGTGACAGCGACTCTAGGTCGGTCGACCCACGGTGCGTGAGGCGGCGACGTCGACCGCAGGGGCTGCGGCGGCGACGGCAGCAGCGGCGGCAGTGTCGACAGCGGCGGCGGCGGCGGCGTGCGGCTGCGTGGCCCCGACGCAAGCGGCGACAGCGGCGGCGGCGGCGGCTTCGACAACAGCGGCAGCGGCGGCGGCACCCGCACCTCTCGGTGACGTGGCCAGGCCCCGCGACGGTGGGACGGCCGGCGGGAGTCAGCCGTCGTCTGCGGAATGGAAGAGGGCACAGGGGAAGGAGGGGGGTGGGGGGGGGGGGGCGCCACAGGCTGACATGCGGGCGGCCGGTCTAGCGGCGCCACAAGCGTCACGCGGCCGGCTGCAGCCCGACGACGCCATCATGGAGCGGCGTCGATGCCGCAGCGGGGCGTCGACGTTGCGACGGCAGCACGACGTCGCCGTTACGCCGACCGCGCGCTGTCGCGTAGACGCCGCGGCAGCGTGACGGCGCCGTCACGTCGCGACAGCATCTTGACGCGACGGCGGAGCTGCGGCACGACGGCGCGGCCACAGCAGCTGGACGCGGGCGCCATGGACGTCGACGGCGGCGCCGCGGCACGACGACGCGGCCACAGCAGCTTGACGCGGCCGCCATGGCAGCGCGAGATAGAGAGAGAAACGAGCACGCAGCGGAAACGCGAGGAGCAGGCCCACACGGAACGAACTGCTCTGATACCATGTCAAAAGACTAGCTTAGCTAGGAAGCCATAGAATGGCACAAGCTTTAGCTAGGAGCTAGGAGGAGCCATGAGAATGGCGAGAGGTTTTAGGTGCTAGGAAAGTTGAGGAGAGAAAAGAGAGTTGGATTAGAAGAGAGGGGAGTACAAGGAGGGGTTTGTACCCCCTACAGAAAGGTTCAGTAACAACCTACCAAGCCTATATTAAATTATAACTTATATAATTTGAACACCCTAGACTATATAGGGGCAGTGCCTAACAAGGGAAGAAGCAGCTCAGGGCGGCACTACTAGTCCCGCCTCTGAGACAAGGGTCTAAAGACCAATCACAAGGAGTACAGACAAGGCAAGAGCAAGGCCAGGGCGGCACTACTAGTCCAGCCACTGGGAGAGGCCACAAGGCCACTCAGGGTAAAAAATATATGTAAAGGACAGTACAAAGTCAAGGCACACCTACACTAGGCAACAAGGGGTAATAAGACGGAAGCACACTCGAGTCATCAGCATACATCACATGCAGAGCAGTAACAATCGCATCCATATCCCGATCAAAAATCTTAACCCTACGACGAAGCAAGCTGTGCCAGTCTGGGAGCTCGGGCGACGGGCCGAAGCGCTGACGAAACAGGTCGTCCAGGCGACGGAAACAGCGGACGGAGGTGTGACCGATCTTATCGCAAACGAAGCCACGGCGAGGACCGGTCTGGAGCAGGTACTGATAGCGCGCGTCACCCGAACCACCACCTGGCAGCCCGACACGCGCACCACCACCACGTCCATCGCTACCACCAGCGCCAGGCCACCCGGGCGGGAGACTACTCGCCCGTCTCTGCTGCTGCTGCGGCTGATGTGACTGCTGCGGCTGCTACGGCTGACGCGAGTCCGGCTGCAACACCGGCGGCTGCTGAGACGGCTGCTCGGCTGCACCTGTCAGGGTCCCCTCGTCCGCACCACCACCAGAAGACCCAGCTCCAGCACCACCTACACCTGCACCCCCACCCCCGCCGCCACGCCCAGCCTTGGGGCGGCGACCCTTCCCCGGACGGACCTGTTCTGCAGCGGCAGTCTCAGCCACAGCGGCACAACCGTCGGAGAAGGTGCGCTGAGCGGGGGCGCAACCTTGAAAGATAGGGACCGGCACAGTACCGCTGGTCTGAGCGATAGAGTGGTGGCGGGCCTCTATGGCGGACAGGGTGTCAACAAAGTCCGAGAGGGTGAGGTCTGCGGGGTGGACACTAAGGAAATGGTCACGGGAAGTGGCAAGACGGTCAGGGAGGCGGGTGGCTAGCAGGTAGAGAGTAGAGGTGAGGGGCGGCTGGTGGGCTAGAAGCTGTGTGGGAGTCCAGGCAGCACGCCAGGTCTCATCTATAGTGCGCAGGTGAGCGGCCAGGTCAGCGACAGTGGGGAACAACGCAAGGTCAGGGAAGAGCATGGGGAGGATCAGACGACCTACCGAGACAGCAGGCGGGGTGGAATAGCGCTGGACAACAGCATCTAGGAAAGCCTGGGCGGTGGTGATAGACCTGAAGCGAGGTCGCTCGGATAGGGGGAGGGCATTGCTAATGGCAAGCTGTGCGACAGCGTCACGGGACAGCCAGACAGAGCGAGCAAGGGCAGCGGCCGCAGCGGACTCACGCTCAGCGGACGAGGGGTCAGTAGACAGTGCAACGGGGAGGTCAGGGCAGGGGAGGGTACCGTCAAGATGGACATACAGCGAGTGGCCATCCTGCCGCTGACCAGTGAGGTGGCGACGGAGGTCAGCAAGCCACACATCAAACTCAATCGGCTGGCCCTCAGCGTCAAAGCGAAGCACCTCCACCATCAGTGACAATAGAGGGCAGTGTAGAGCGTTGCAGGACGGTGCAGTGCGGTGCAGTGCAGCGCAGTGCGGCATAGTGCGGGGCAGTGCGGTGCAGTGCGGGACAGTGCGGTGCAGTGCGGTACAGTGCAGTGCAGTGCGGTGCAGTGCGGTACAGTGCGGTGCAGTGCAGTGCAGTGCGGTGGGGACAGAGGAAAGGGGGAAGGGGCGGGGCTTCGGATCTTCAGCGCGGCGCCATTGCTGGCGCGGCGCCTACTGGCGTGCGGGTGGGCAGTCTAGCGGCGCCACAGGCGTCGCGCGGCCGGCTGCAGCCCGACGCCGCCGTCACAGAGCGGCGTCGACGCCGCGGCGTAACATCGACGCTGCGACGGCAGCACGACGGCCCGACGCCACGGCAGCGCGTCGAGACGGCAGCGGCACGACGTGGCCAGCGGCATCACGACGCCGCCACTGCAGCGCAACGCGGCCGGCATGGCCGCACGAGCGAACGAGGGCAAGGAGTACGCGGCGGAAGCGTGAGGAGGCAGTCTAGCAGGGAGGAACTCCTGCTCTAATAGCATATCAGAATGAATAATAACTACAATGGGGAGATACAAGGCAATATTGATTGGTGAGCTGTACCCACTAAGGCACAAACACATAAAGTCCGCAGTAACTGCATAAGTTATGTTTGACACAGCCGTGCTATTAGCTGCCACGCTACTGGCAGCCATAGCTGTAACACAAGGGGCGCCTAACGGACCTCTAGGGCAACTGGAAGCGGCAATTACGGGCAGCCAAAGGCAACTGGAAGCGCTACATGGGGAGCGATACGCACTGCACGCCGTAGCCATGTGCAACGTGAATCTAGGAAACCGTAGCGATGTGCATAGTGAATCTGTGGCGCTGTACCCATCTGCAGCGTGAATCTGTGGCGCCGTAGCCATGTGCAACGTGAATCTGTGCGCGCCTTAGCCATGTGCAACGTGAATCTATGGGCGCCGTAGCCATGTGCAATGTGAATCTGTGCGCGCAGTAGCCATGTGCAACGTGAATCTGTGGCGCCGCAGCCATGTGCAACGTGAATCTGTGCACGCCGTAGCCATGTGCAAAGTGAATCTGTGGTGCCGTAGCCATGTGCAACGTGAATCTGTGGCACCGTAGCCATGTGCAACGTGAATCTGTGGCGCCGTAGCCATGTGCAACGTGAATCTGTGGGCGCCTTAGCATGTGCAACGTGAATCTGTGGGCGCCGTAGCCATGTGCAACGTGAATCTGTGCGCGCAGTAGCCATGTACAACGTGAATCTGTGGCGCCGCAGCCATGTGCAACGTGAATCTGTGCACACCGTAGCCATGTGCAAAGTGAATCTGTGGTGCCGTAGCCATGTGCAACGTGAATCTATGGCGCCGTAGCCATGTGCAACGTGAATCTATGGCGCCAGAGCCATGTGCAACATGAATCTGTGGCGCCGTAGCCATGTGCAAGGTGAATCTGAGCTCGTCGTAGCCATGTGCAACGTGAATCTGTGCGCGTCGTAGCCATGTGCAACGTGAATCTGTGCGCGTCGTAACCATGTGCAACGTGAATCTGTGGCGCCGTAGCAATGTGCAACGTGAATCTGTGGCGCCGTGGCCATGTGCAACGTGAATCTATGGGCGCCGTAGCCATGTGCAATGTGAATCTGTGCGCGCAGTAGCCATGTGCAACGTGAATCTGTGGCGCCGTAGCCATGTGCAACGTGAATCTGTGGCGTCGTGGCCATGTGCAACGTGAATCTGTG